AGATGACGAACATTCTGGTTCTAAGATTTTTTGTTCTTTTTTTCTGGTTTGGATTTTGCTTAAATTTTTTAGACATTTTTTGTATACAGTAGATTTACCAGTTCAATCAATATTGTTCTACAACTTGTAAATGTGAATAAAAAGTAGAAACATTTTCATGATCAAATTATGAATATTGGAAGATTCAATTTTTGCTTCAAAATTTTAGACACTTTTTGCTTAAAATCCTCTGCATTCTTCTAGAGCTATAAGCATTGCTGCAGGATTGCAAGATTGAATCTTGGAAGAAATTGGTTTCTGGTTTATAGCTTTAGAAAGCAGTGAAAAAATTTTGTTGATTAAACATCTACTCCTTTTAAGAATTAGTTGAGATTGTGGTATCCACACTAACATGAAAAAATTTGGTCTGAAACAAAAAAATGGGATGGAAGAAGAAATGGGAGAAGAACCAACGGGGAAGGAAGGAAGGAAGGAGAGACTTCTCGTATGCCACAATCATTATTTAATTCCAGATTTTTTTTTTATTATTGGTTTATTAAATGGTTTTTAATTTAAATTAAATTATGATTAATTTAGATGATGTGAACAGCCACATCACATTATTGATATTAAAAAGATGATGACAAAAGTCAAAAGGTGCTAAAGTAGGACTATGAATAGAGTGGAGGATATATTACGTACGTTTATAGCTTGATTGCCAGGCTACCATATATTCCAAATCCGAGGATGAACGATGACTTCTATTTGTCAACTTATATATCAGAAACTTTCCTCCTTGGTGGAGGCGGTTTCGATATGTGTGGTGCTTGGTGGAGGATGATGGAGCCTTCTTCTTTGGGGAGGATGATGGAGCCTTCTTCTTTGGGGAGGATGATGGAGCCTTCTTCTTTGGGGCTGTGTTTGATGAGATCTCTTGCATGGGATGCTGATTTGTGGTCGACGGCGGGTTCTTCGCACGCAGCAGCGGAAGCTAGTCTTCTAGGGTTTGTGTTTTTCTGTTTGTGGGCTCTTCTCTTGGGTTGGACTTATGTTTAGTGTTTGGGGTTCACTTTTTGTTTTGTGTTTGCTGTGTAATTGGGCCCTTTGGTTGTATTTGTTCTCTCTTCGTAATGAAGATTATCTTTGTCCAAAAAAAAAAAAAAAAAAAAAAATATATATATATATATATATATATATATATATTAGAAACTTTCAAATACAACTAATAATGATAATAATAATATATTATTATTATTATTATTATTAAAAAGAAAAAAAAGAGTTTAAAACTATTACAATAACTTATTATACTATTTAAAAACATATTCTTTTATCTCACCCCATAATGTAGCTTTATAATCTACCATTTTTATACTCTCCCCTGTCAAAGATCATCCATAGCCAAAACACATCAAGCTCAACTCAATGTTATATAAAATGACGAGAAAAGAAGAAAAATTGATTGCAAACTATAATATTCTTATTTCATTCACAGAAGTAAAAATAAATAAATAAAAAAAACTGCAAATTACCAAGATAACCACATAAAGAAAGCACTACATCTTGTCACAACTACGTTCTATTAAGTTACAAGGTGTATTTATAAAGCATTCATAAATCCTAGTAAATGATAGAAAAACAATCTCTTTATCTTATTTTACTATAGAACCCTAATACGTAAAATACCAAAAATACTTTAAACTTTAACACCAAATTGCTAACTTTTCTAACATTCAAGTCATTTGGTAAAATCTTAGTCATTGAAATATTTCGGCTAGAAATCCAGTTGCTAAATTTGTTCAACTGATGTGAGAGGACGTGGTGGTTTCTAATGTGTTACAAATATATGAACATGCAACATAATTTATTACCAACTTTAGGAATCATACTTAATGGAACAAAATTGGGTGAAACATTCGTCTTGTTCTTAAAACCGTCTTGAGTGAGGAATTAAGAGCATGCACGAGTTGGGGCTTTCATGCACAAGTTTGGGACGTAGGGCGGTGACTTGGCTACTTAGAATTACTTTTAAGAGTTTCTCCTTAAGTCTCCGCCTCCACCTTGATGAACTGAGTGTGAGTGTTAGGGAAATTGGGGGAGATTTGAGACCGAGGTTGGATGGAAAACTTAACGGAGTTAGATTGAGATGACAAATTAATGATTTTTGAAATTTGATGTGACAAATCACTTAAAATTTTAATTTATATGACAAATTAAAAGAGAGAGAGAGAGAGAGAATAAGTTCATCTAACAATTCATTTTTTCTTTTTAGTTAGGGTTTTTATCACCAATGGTCTTTGAGATTGACCAAACTCATCATTTTGATCTCTTACTTTCAAAATCAATCAATGTCATCCTTGACATTCACCACCGCACATCAATTTAGTCCTTCCGTTTAGATTCCGTCAACTATTTCTATGTGAAAACCCATCCCTAATTTGACAATTTTATTAATTTTAAATGAGGGAATTGACAAAAATGCCCCTAAAGGCAAGAACGTTGACTTTCATTGACCAGCGTATTGTGAGGCGTATGAAATATTCTTTTAGCATATCCTTGTAGTACTCGTCATTATGAACACATAGGTGCAAGCGAAACGAAGTTTGGGGTTACGACAAAAATTTTACAAACTACGGAGCGTGTTGGGCTTTTTAGTAATTTCGCGTTTACAGGAGATAATTTGATTTGTTTTTTTGCCTTAGGCTGTGTACCATGTGGGGCCCACGCCCCATTCCTTCATCTTTCTCCCGTGTTTCCCTCTCATCTCTCCTTATTCTTTTCTGCCATCCCATCATGTCTCTCTCTCTCTCTCCTATCTCACTATCTCTCATCTCTTTGTAAAAACAATGGAACCGAGCTCCCTCACCTCACACTTTCCCATCTTTTTCCTTCCCATCACAAGTCCTAGAGATCTTAAACCCTGCTCACTGCACAACAGCAACTTGGACGATGACACCACCATCTGCAGGTCTTCTTCTTCTTCCTCACTTCCCTTGTTCTTCTCCAAGCCCAGGAACCACCACTTCACCATACTCCGACAAACCTTTCGACCAAACACCATTATACCATCACCATCAACCTCGCGGAAGACCACCACCCTTGTACCTAGTTACTCAAGACACCCAAATGAAAAAATGGAACTACACAATGACTTTTATCACTATTCACTCATCTCTTTGACCATGGTGAGCTTCAAGACCCTCAAATCTTCCTTATTCCAAAGCTCTTATGTTGTTCTAACCTTTAAAATAGTGATTGGGTGACGATTTAATGTAGGAAGTAACCTATGAAAAATTTCCCAGATTTCTGGAAAACTAGGACCCGTGGCCATTTGGCCACTTTCAGACCAAATTCCCGGCCAACATCAATCACGTTTGGGCTTCCAGTAGGTATATATCCATTTCCTATATTTCTAGCTTCAAGTTGGCTTTTGTATCATCGAATTTGGTTACGAATCGAGCTCGATATGAGCTTAGGAAGTCGGACTAAAAACCTACAAAACGCAAATCTTCGCGAGGAAGGCGAGTACGATGGTACTCGTAGGCTCGTGGGCGTGCGTGGGCTCACGCTGGTCATCGGTGCGTACGGCGTGCGGCTTCTAGTGCAGCCACTTATGGCAGCGAGTGGAGGCACGTGGAAGAACCAAAGGTTACTTCTTAGGTTTCTCGACATGTCGAATCCCAATCCACAGTCCATTTTTTGAAATTCGACCGTTTTAAGATAGTTTCTTTATTAGTCGTATTTTGTATGAGAATGCGTAATTACTTTAGTACGTTATATTTATCTAAATGGTTTCGTTTCTACGCGAAACGCATTGCAAGGACTCTCGATGCTATGAGGCGGATTTGACTAGACGACATGATCTGTAAATGGGTATTTTCTTTTATGTAGTGTGTGTGTGTGTGTGTGTATATTATATATATTGGCTAGTTTCCACATATATACTTATTAATGAATTTTCTAAGTGATTGCCATAATTAAAGTCACGTTTATAAGAAATGTCTTAGTGTTGGGAAATTATGAGATAATCTTACGGGATGCATATGTAAGCTTACTATAAGGGGATACCTTAATTTTATTTGTGGCCATAATTAATATTTATGGAATAGTATTATGTCGATGTAAACTATTGATTTACCGCTGTATGATTTTAGTTATGTTATCTGCTCATCGTTTGCTGCATCGGTGTTAGTACTCGCCCGGGTCAAGGCCAGTCTTTCACGTGTATGTGCACATCGCACCGAACACTCACTTTGGATTCATTGTAGGTGCCAATCTAGTTCTAGATTGCTATAGGCAATTAGGACTCGTATGTGTTGCGCATAGCGCCAGTCTTCACGTGATTGTAGTACTAAAGCGTAAATCATTATTACACCCAGTTCTATTTATGTCAGAATACCTCTGCGTGAACTCGTGTGTCAGCATGTGTCGATGAGCACTCGATATGATATGTTTGCTTATGTGAGATTATGTGATTACAGACGTCATGTATTTATTTTCTTATTTTGTGACGTATTGTATTCTTATGACATTGCAGGCTACGGTAAGTATTTTTGTACTATACGTAGTATGTATATTTTGGAAACTATACTTGTTTTATAACGAGGGGTTATAATGTTTTCAAAAAGGTTTTTATAAAGCTTTATTTTTAGGCCCACTCACCCTTATTTTTCACCATCCCAGGTTTTAGTATCTAAGCTTTCGTGTCGAACGAGGATTCTTGGCAAATCTTGGTATTGGAGATTACCTTTGATGATATAATTCTCAATCCACTTTACTCTACTTTACTTATGCTCTAACATCACGTGTGAATTGGGTTCATTTCCACTCACAAGCGCACTCTTAAAATTAGGCACTTTGAGTTAAATTTATTCACATATTCCACTACACTACACTTTATGGATTCGTCACCTTCCAGGTGTCGGCCAACACAACTTGATTTGGAGTCCAAGCGAAAATTCCGCATCGGGATGTGTCATTTTGTTAGTTTGCATGTGGGACCCACAAATCCAATAAAATGGTGACACATGGATTATACAAAAGAAGAGTTTTTATCACAAATGGTCCCTGACATTGATCAAACTCCTCATTTTGATCCCTGAGTTTCAAAAATCAATAAATTTGGTCTCTAACTTTCACAATCGCACATCAATAGAGTCCTTCCATTAAAATTTCGTCAATATTTTTGTTAGTGTGCTGATGTGGTCCCACTAGTCCAATCATATGGCACCAAGTGGATTAACTATAAGAAACTAATTTTTTTTAGAGTGAACCAACTGGCGATTATTCTGCACTGACATTTCTCTCACATCCCAGAATCCCAATTGGAAAATAAAATATAATTTAATTCGATAAAATCGAATCCAAATTCAATTCAAATTTGATAGGATTATAACCAATTAGAGAGAATGAGAAGTGAGTTCACGGAGGACAAGAGCTTTAGTGATGTCACGGTGCGTTCCTTTTCCTTTTTAGCATACCTAGATGAAGACGATGATGTCTTTTTTTGTTTTTCCTTTTAGTTTTAGTTTTTAATTTCTTATAGTACTTTTAGTTTCAAATCTTAATTTTTTTTTATAATTAATCCATGTGGCGCCATATGGTTGGACCAGTGTGATCATATTATCACACTAACAAAAAATATTGACAAAATTTTAATGGAATGACTAAATTGATGTGCAGTAGTGAAAGTCAGAGACCAAATTTATTGATTTTTGAAACTCAGGGACCAAAATAAGGATATTGATCAATGTCAGGGACCATTTGTGATAAAAATCTTTCTTTTGTGTAATCCATGTGTCACTATTTTATAAGATTTGTGGGTTCCACATGCAAACTAACAGAAATAGTTGACGAAATTTAAACGGAATGACCAAATTGATGTGCGGTGGTGAATGTCAGGGACGACATTAATTGATTTTGAAAGTGAGGGATCAAAATGATGAGTTTGGTCAATCTCATGAATCATTGGTGATAAAAACCCTTTTAGTTATAACCCTCCTTCTATGACCTCTATTTTTGGTTGTCTAGTTAGAGTTTAGATGGATGCTTGAAGGCTAAGCCAAGCCCACTAAGATATAGTAAGATAGAGATTAATATAATTCATCTCCTCATTGGGTGGATTGTCTTTACTTGAAATGAATTAAATAAAAAAATGAAGTAAATAAAACTAACACAATGCATAAACCATAATTGAACATAGGACCTCAACTGCAAAAGTAAATACTTTTAACTACTTCAATAGTTTGAGTACAAGTCCATTGCAGAACCTATCATTATATAATAGTACTACTGATTAGTAGATAAATAATAAGTATTAACCTTAAAGAGGAAAACAAACGTCATTAGATAGTGTAGTACTACATCATCTCTTAATTATTTATAAATATAAGAAGAGCTTAGCCCATGTTATATAAAACCATGCCTCTGGAACTGCGAATTACTACATACACTTACGGTGCATGCATATATGCATGACTTACTAATATTTCTATACTTGATCATTCAATCTTCTTCTTCTTCTTCTTCTTCACTCTCAATTCCGCGACGACCATGCGTGTTGCCAATGTTGAAAACTCCATTGCCGTCTCCTTTGTTTCCACTGACTCGGTTCCCAGAAACGTTGTAAGACGTACCACTTGTGCCGCTTTTCCCATTTTTACCCTTTTTGGCCTTGGGACGTCGAGCGGGCGGCGGTGTTGAATACCAATTGCTAGAGTATCCATAAGTAGATGGACGCTGAGGCTGAGGTTGAGGTTGAGGAGTGTAGTAGTTCAACCATATATATGTTGAGAATTGAATACTGCACGGGAAAATTGAATGATCTTGCATGTGCTTATGAGGAGTTAAGCTATTCTTTATATTTGTCAATTACTTTGATTGTGGAACCTTGACTTCATGGTGTCGAAGCAGGTTACTCACGTGTTGAGCCTACATTTCACGTGCTTCTACGTCACCTAACATGTGTTAGGTTACACATATTGATTTTTCTATTATACATCATAACATAAACTCGTCACCTATCCATCATATTATACATTTACTAAAACCCAGTTCCATTGGCATTGTTTTTCACTATTCGTGAACAGTGAAATGTCGAAAAAGCCCTCGGCTACTTCATGCTTTACCGTTCTATTTGGCTTTTTAGCATAGTGAATTCTTGGTTTTGCCCATGCTACTCACCTTCAGTATTTTTCTGTGTGTTCCACAGCCTCTGATGTGCACGTGTTTGTCATCGTTGGGAAGGGAAAAGCTCTCGGCTTTTCCATTGGTTTCCTGGAGAATCTCTTAGTTGTCTCTTAGAATCGCGAACCACTCCATTCGACAGCATCTCATCCCTCTTCCTCCTTCAGACAACATATCCCTCTAGGCTCCTCCTTCCATCCTCCTCCTAAGTTGGCCAGCTTCTCCTCCGCTCATTCTCCTATGTATTTTTTTCATCTTTATTTTTCCTCAAATCCCTCTTGCATTTACCAATTACCACGTATAAATGTAACATAATCTCTACTTTCTCGCATATCCTTCTTTTTGTTTTCTCCCAGAAGGAATCAACGCAGCCAACCTCTACCCATTAGCTACCGCTGCTTACTCGCAAGGTATGTATATCTCTCATATCTCAAATCCTTTCTTTTAATTGAATTTTTTTTTAGATCGTTTTTATTTTTCTGTGTTTGTATATTTTGTTTTTGGTTTACTGTGTTCTGAGTGTTTATCAATTGAATTGCTCCAACTAATTCAGGGATGTAAATTTGGATTCCAAATAGGTTTTCAATGCAAATTTCGTTTTTATCTTTTGGGGTTTTGATTCCAGGAAGATCCTAAAAGCATAGCAGAGTAACCATCTTCTTTTCATTTCTTCTTCATCAATACTCTAATTTGATTTGATTATATCTACTTACGTTTGATGTAATCAATTTATTATGTTGCAAATTGACTTGACCTCTCATATAGTGAAGGTTTTCTTGGCTTTAAGGGTGTGTTTGTTGCACCGGACTGTCTCGGACTGGACTAGCTGCAGGGACTCAGCTGAACTAGCTTAGACTAGACTAAGCTGGATTAACTTAGTGATGCGTTTGCAATGTCGTACTAAGAAGTAGGATAATAAAATTTTCAACATGCAATTCACAAATCTGATACCAAATTAGCACAAACAACTCAAATTGGGTCCAAACAAGGACTCTTTCTTCTTCTTATTCTTTAGAAATTACAAGTAGGGACTCTTTCTTCTTCTTCTTCGCTGGAAATTACAAGTAAGGACTCTTTCTCCATGTCATTGTCCCTGGAGCACATTGCACATTGCACATCGCACACTACACACACACACATAGCAATCTGCTTGAAACCCATCAAACAGTCAACGCAACGGGTAGAATCCAATCAGTCCATAAAATTTAACAAATTGACAAACTCTAACACATAAACCTTAACTAAATCGCATTATACAACATGCAAAAACTCAACTTAAATTCTAAAATTCAACACCTTTCAATAAACCCAAATTCCATAAATAAATAAAAAATAAAAAAAGCAGATGGAAAAAATTCAAAAGAACTAGAGAGAGTGAGAGACGGAGAGAGAGATGGTTACTTCGACTGGGATCGAACGGGGGAGGAGGAGGGGTGATTTAGGTGGAGGGCGACCAGGATGCTGACGCAAAGATGAGGGTGATGAGGACGAGGATGAGGAAGCAGGGCAATGAGGGAGCAGGGAATGTAGGGAGTGATGGCGACGACTCTCTCTCGCAGGAAAAGCAAGGTTCTCTCTCGCAGGTGGTCTTACGAGTTAGGCTAAAATTGGCGTTCTTGGCCAAGAACTCCTAACGAAGTCTTTAATCCCAGCGAGTCCCATCTAATCCCATTAAACCTAATCCTTGTGCAAACCAAACATGAGACTACACTAGCAATTAGTCTAGTATAGTCCAGTCCCCCCTAATCTGGTCAAACAAACACCCCTTAAAGGTATGAATTTTTTTGTATTGTTGAATTTTTTGTGCAGTAAATTGAACCTAGTTTGTAAAAATTTCAAAACTAAAACTGAAACAGTTTAAGCTTCTTCAGCCTTTTGATTTGGATTGAAGATGATTTTTAGCCAAAAAGGCCAATGTTTTATGGTAAGTTCTTTGAATCCTGCATCTGGGAGTTTTTTTTTTTTTTTTTTTTTTTGCAAAGCTGTCGGTTTTGTTTTCTTCAATTTCTACATCTCATCATTTTCCTACTTTCTGTTTGTTTCCTAAAAAAAAAATTAAAAAGCAAGGAAACCTAGAAATTGAGCATAATTTTATTTTAATTTTTCTGATTTAAAGAGGAAAAAGTTGGTTCTTTCATTACATGCATGATTGGGTGGTATTATTTTATCAAAGATCGTATTTTTATTGATGGGTTATCAGGCCATAGGCCACGAAGCTTCGAATTCAGGGTAGTACCTTGTGGTGGTGAGCACATGGCCCTTCGCAGAGGCTGTCAGAGCATCTTGGCGGGTTGTGGATAATGAGTTCTTCGTCGTGGATTCCGTTGTTGAGGATTGCCCGACTTGCGAGGAACTCAGATGTGATGATACAGGTAGAGTTAGTTCTTGGATTGTTGGATTTAGTTGATTTTAGCTTCATATAAGAACAATGTTACTAGGAAATTGATGTTTGCATTATCTGTATGAATTAATTGGTTGGTTAGTGTTTGTGTGCATTGGAATTACACATTAGGCAGAGAAAAAGATAATTTGAGTTGAAAGTTCATGGTACAAAAGATGAAGATGGCAAAAAAAATTGTTGCTTCTCGGCTTGGCCGCGAAATTTATGATATAAATGAATTAATGAATTACCAACCGTGGTCTAATTATTAGGATCTTAGTTCTTGGTGTGCTTGAAAAACCAGGGCAAATAGTTTCTTACCAATGGCAATCGTAGTATGTAGCTTATTTCAATATCACTTTTTATGGGAGTGGAAACCTCAAATGATATTAGAATGTATGTATGAATTGAGTTTTTAAATTGTGTGATCCTAATGAATTGAGCTTTTAAAGGATGTAATCATAATTGAAAGTAAGTTTTGTTTTCTTTGTATGCTAAAACCTTCTCTTGAATTATGTAATTAATTTTGTGATTTCTCATTTGGAATGTTGATGGGTTTGATAGCTACTATAAGAAATAATAATATATGATGTTATTGGAACAGTTGGGCGTAGTGGGAGTTCAGATGAGAACGGAGAAACTACATTCGATACTCTGGTCATGGATGGCGTAAGTAGCATTCACGTCATGCAAGTGATCAACAAGAAGTAGGTAAGCATCATCGCTATGATTGGTTGTATAAAGAATTGGGGAAAAAAAATTGAAGACAATTCCGCGTTTTGGAGTTGTAGCAATTAGTAAATATATAATGACACTGATTAGTTCACTTAAGAGTTGAATCCTTCGTTGGTTTCTTTGTATTCTGTGCTTCAGAATGAAAGCAATGGACACATTATGGAATTGATGTTCCTTTTAATATCCATATAGATAAGGAATTCTTCCTTTTATTAGCAATTATATGAAGTAGGCATATTATGGAATACAAGTTCTACATTTATTTAGTAAATATTGAGTTTATTTTTATCGATTAGTGACATTTGATTCAGGTTTAAGTTTCTTAGATGTTTGTATTTTGAAAATTGATTTCAATGGTCTTTTAGGATTTTTTTTTTTCTTCTTTTTTGCTTACATAATTATGTGCTGCTTCAGGGACACCTACCATAGTGGGCACAACTTATGAGACTTGGAATGACGACTGCTTCTTCTTCTTCCAGATGATCCCCTGTTTAATGGTCGTGAGTTTGAAAATCTTTGGCAATGATTTCAAAACAAAGAAAATATTTGTTGTTAGTTTCCATCCACAATTAATGAAGGTTTGTTATAATTTTTTTCCTTGGTTAGATATGTTCTAATGCTATGTTTTCCATTGCACAACTGATGGATTGTTCTCTTATCACTCAAAATTTTCAATTTGAATATCAGATTGGTTGGAAAGCTTCTTTTCATAATTTGGTAAATAGATTAATTTTCTATGATACAATCTTCCATATCTTTCAAACATAATCTTCTATACAATTTTCAATCCCGTAGCAGTGCGCAGGTTGAAGTTTCTAGTTATATCTAATATTGCGTGTATATATTGAGTACACCAAGTAACAATGTTTAATATCACAAAATAACTTTTCCAACCTAGCATCAATGTTCTAAAAGACGCTAAGTGCTAGTTAGGCGGTGAACTGGAGCCTAGCGCCTAGGTGGCTAGGTGGGGGCCTAAGTGGACTAGGTGGATTTAAGTAAACTTATTGTATATCATATAAATAAGTGCATGTTTATACTTAAAAAATACATGATTTTATTGAGATACATAAATTGAAAAACATAATGACATATAGGTTAGAAAGTATCAGAACATATTGAAAACATGGGAAACCAGAAATAATGAGTGTTCATCCAAGTATTCAACAAGTATCTTACAATTTATTAAAAAAAAATAACATAAAAGTTATCTATATTCTGTCTAAGTGATGGTCGTGACGTATGTGGGTGTCTAAGTGGGTATAAGCGTGCGCCTAAGCAGGTCTAGTTACTTTCAAACGCCTAGAGATTAATTAGGACTGTGGTTAGCTGCCTAACACCTAGACGGGCCTTGGCAGCGCTAGACGGAGATTTTTAGAATAGTATCTAGCATACAATACTTTTTCCAACTCAATCAGCGTAAATACCCCCACATGATATGAGGCATATATACTTTGCTCCTTTCATTTTGGGATGTGATGTTCACATATCCCTTTTTACTTCTCACACACCTATTTAATTTTCGGTAATCCAATCAGATGAATTGAAAAAGATCAAATGACAGAAATAAACAAGGGGTGTGTAAGAAGTAAAAAGGGATGTGTGGATAGCATACCCCTTCTTTTTTGGATTAGTCAAATTTTTAGGCGCAACACATGAAAAAAAGAGATATGAAAGAACTCTAGCAAACTAGCTTAACAATACTTTCAAAGTTTACGTAATATAATTTCTTGTACATATATTAATTATAAAGGCACGCATAGAACAGCATATAGTTTTGTTGTGGTATGGGAATTGCTGGAACAAAATATATAAGCACTGAATTTCCCTAATATATTCACTTTCCTTGTTCTTCGTTCAAGTCACGACGACCATACTGGATGCCAACTTCTTCTTTACCTTCACCATCCTCCGCATGGCTTAAATCCCGAAAACTGTATTTGATGTCAATGTTGTAAATCTTATGATTGTCCCCAGTGTTTTGGCTAACTTGATTACTGCAAACTTTATACGATGTTTGTTTGACAGATTTGGGCTTCTTGGGCTGCTTGGGCTTCTTGGGCTTGGCTTTAGGAGGAGGAGAAAGCTGGGATTGATAGTTGTAGTCCTGCCCAAGTCCGGGATCCGGAGGAGTACTACTACTGTAATATTGATCAAGACGATCATATCCATACAGAGGAGGAGGAGGAGGAAGAGGAGGAGGTGGTGGTGGTGGTGGAGAATATTGAATTACCATATATTGATTAGGAGGCTGCTGGGCAGGATGATAAACCAGATAAGGATATGATTGTCCAGTATTGCTAACAGAGTTGGTACTGTATAACATTGACTCCGGACTGTAGCGCTCGTACATGGGTTTTCCTTGTATTTTCGATTTAGTTGGAGGCTTGAAACAAGAACTCCTTCACTTTTGCTTAGAACTGTCTCATGAATGAATGCTATAATAGTTATAGGCACTTTATAGTTTATATGGACATTGAAGGGGAAGCTATAGCTAGCCACTTTATTGGTATACGTATAAAGCCTTAGCTTAATTCCCAAGCTAAACTACTGTGCATAATTTTAGAGGGCAGTGGTGATTGGATTCCTATCACATTAGATTCTACAATACATAGAATATTAATCCGAGTAACCTACAACGAGCAAGTCTTATCAACTTTTGCCTAACTCTAGCCTGGCCATGTGCCTTGGTTCGGACTTATCAAACTGCAACGTAGCAGAGCATCTCCAGTGGTGATCTATATTTAGTTCCTACAAACGTATAGTTCTCAGATAGTCAGATATGAGGTTCAAGGCCTTTTAATGAGTCTGAAAACAAGACTCTATGGTATGGGGCCTCGCTCTAGTATGTATATAAATCTTCACAATTGAGGACTATATAGAGACTGAAGTTTTGGTGCCCTTCTATTGGGAGATCAACGGTTTCAATTATATAAACCTTAAGTTTAGAGTTTATACTATGAAGACTTTCTCATTGAAGGCGATATACCGTTAGGGACATCGTAGATTCCCTTTACGTTCTTAAATGAGTTCTCAAAAATGATGGTGGGCGTTCCCATTGATGCTCTTACAACACTTACGCTTCATATTCTTGTCAACGTCATTACTTTTTATTTTATAAATTGTATTTTTATTAACAATGTATAAAACATATAAGCTAATTAAGTAACCTAAAACTGCCACATAATACTTGATGCCAAACTAGCATAAGAGCAATCATAAAACCAATTTTGAAAATCTAAGCTCTAATACCAAACTGCCATCAAAGCAATCATGAAATCAAATCCGAAAACCTTGCTCTATTACTAAACTGATATGCAAACCGACTCAAATATCCACGCAGATACCAAAATTAAGGTATGTTGGCTAACATCCAAAAAGTAACGAAGTCATAAGATGAAGATGATATGTAAAAAGTACGAATAAATTAAAACAAGAGTGCAAAGTGTACGGAATGAACCTTTTTTACAGAGTATGTAGTGTTGGAACACAAATAAGAGTGCAGCATAATTAAATAATGTGTGCATGGTAGTCATGGGAGCAAAACTTGGCCCGGGGCAATATTTTAGCTCCCTACAAATAATATTTTAAAAAATAACACAAGGTTAATTTTTTTCATCTCCAATCATGCAGAGGTATAGTTTAATCCCTTCTTAATTTTGTTACTTTTTGTTATATTAAGAGAAACTATGATCCAACTCATACATTTACTACTATGTTGTACTGTTCAAGGCATATTTAATAAGTAAAATCTATCAAGTTTTGAAGACGTGATAGCAGACTCATTGAACAAAGCTGTCCCTCCCTGACACAAGCTTTCTAAAAAGTGACATATGATCAAGCTTTTAGTCAAAACCCTAAACATTTCCACCTTCAAATCACATTCAATTTGTCTACTGTACTGTGGCGATCCTAGAAGATGGAGATATGTGGCGTCTGTAAATTTTGTGTGCGACTTTTCTTCCAATTTTACATATCATCTTGAACATCAATCATAGGTAGCTAGAGTGGCATCGGGTGTTACAGGGCCACGGAGCTTGCTAAACCAGGGTGGTGCTAATGCTAAGTCACATATGTTCACCGCGGTGGGGTAAAGAGGAAGCCCTCTATATATACTAAACATTGTTAGTCTGTTTTTCGCAATGTTATTTTTGTCCTCCTCTACTCCCAAGGTCTTATACAGTGCTTACTAAAGCTTAGTTTTATTTACACAGCACAGGCAACAGCTGTTTGCTTGTCCAACTTCAGCCTCATTTCCTGCTGTGAAGGCCATTAGTTTATCGCTTCCACTTAGGTTCATGAAGCAGAGCGTCCAGGACTCCCATGGCTCATGTTCCAAAACTGAACCTCATACTCGAGTACACGCAGGAACGCTACTTCAGCCTTGGTGACCACATCTTCTGAAACCTTCACCAAAGGCCCACCGTCTGAGGCGGCCTTCTCCAACTCTCGGTCAGCAATGTTTCGGAGAGAAGAGCAGTACTGGCCGAAGCCATCATTGCCCCACCTTTGGCAAGCCTCTTGCAGTTCTGGTGGGGTTTTGGACCCTTCTTCCAGGCAATGGGCAAAGCTCTCTTGGTATACAGCTTCGATGGCCCAAAAGGCTGTCATGGCCACGGCGAAATCAACATCCGGGCTCATTAGATCCTCCAGAAATCTGCAACCAACACCAGTCCAATTACCACTACATTGGCACAACAGTAATGCCCGATTTACTGGAAGTGAAAGGACTCCCAAATTCTTAACCTAAACAATTTTTATTTGCTTACACATCTGGGCCACTTGAATAGCGGAAATCTACTGTCCCACTAGTAGTATGCTACAACGTGACTAGGTGTCGGTCGCACTAGGTCACTAGCACTATTGATGATGAGAAAGATAGGCATGTAACTGTACAGAACCAGTGACACCATTCTAAACTTCATCACACTATACCGAACCAAATTTTCTACAATCTATACTAATGTTCAATAAGAACCCTTGTATAAAACGTGAATATCCTTCAATGACCATTTACCGTGAAAATTACTTGCATGAAATTGGTGAGGGACCACCACAGTGTCCCAAACAATCAAACGTCGCCATGTAAAGTAAAAATACATGGCGCCATTGGTAGGTTTGAGACACTGACTCGTCGTCATCCTCTTTCATGTAAGTCTCTCTTACGTACGACACTTAATAACATCAGCCTAAATGTTAAAACATAAAAAAGAATTGAGTGATTGCTAACTGCTAAGCAAGAAACTTTGGAGTTAAACTGAAGATGGAACCTGCAGTAATCCTGGGTTGTTTTTTCAGGAACAACACCGGATAGCTCAACGCCCCACTTGGAAGCCTCTTGCTTGAACCATTCAATCTCATCACTCAGAGCAACCACCCCACTCAGTACCAATTCGATATCGCCGCTTTCGTGATCGGAATTCTTCCAAGCTTTTATCAGCACACTCGCCACAAATGGTACAAATGCTCTCACAAATATGTAGTCCTGGCCCTGCACCAACCTTTTCAAAATTAGACTACCAAAGCAAAAATCCGTTAATTATAAGTGCTGCCCAAATTGACTAGACCACGGAATTTGGACTTCCGCACACAACGGGATGAAACTCGTGAATAAATCAGTATAAAACTCGTCATTCACAAAAGTAAAATCTCCCGCAAGAAAGTAAAAAGTAACACATTTATAAAAGAAAAATAATCATTGCTGCCCGGAGAATTGGAGAATGAAACGGCGCCGTAGCGAACCAAATTAACCAACTTTTAATTGCGGCTTACTTACCAGCCAGCGTTTGAAGGCGGAAAGATCGACGGTGCCGTCGCGAATGCTGATGATGAAGGGGTGTCGGGTGGCTCCAGTGTAGATCAGACGGTGCTTCCTCAGCCACGTGTTGGTCATCGACACTCCAGCTTTCGGCTTCCCATCCATTTTCTGCGGCTTCGATCTCTTCCTTTCCTTGTGGTTTCTCTGTTTCGCATTTGACCGCGCGAACGACTGATAGAGAGAAAGAGATGGAGGGAGGGGCTTTTGTGTAATTAGAGTGGGCAGTCCCAATGTTCAATCTTTATGTGCCGAACACGTGGGAGCCATCCTGCAAAACAGCCGCTACGCGTGTAGAAGCAGTCGGCAGTAGCCACCGCTTGTGTTCGTTGGGCCTGCTACTGTTTCAGATATTAATGGGCCGGTCCAAGCAGGCACCATTTTGTGTGTTTCGTTTTAGTCCCACCTTTATGTAGACTGGTGATGTTACTTCCTTTTTTGGTAAATTTGTACATTGGTGATGTTACATTGTTGACTTTTTAGTTAAAATAGTTTTTGAGATTTGCATAATATCTTACTTTGTTCTCTGATATTAAAAATCAATAGAAATGGTTCCTGAGATTGTCCACCATCCATTATTACCAAGTTCCCCTTGAATTCTAGAATGCCCCCTCTCCTCTTTGTTTTCTCTTTCAATATTTTAATTTTTTTAATATATTAGGTTAACATGAATGAATATTAGAAAACCCATACAAGTAAAAAATAAAATAAATAGATATAAAGTAAATAGGGGTATCTTAACCATTAGCTTGATTAGTAACAAAAGAAAGACCTTGAACTCTTTAGGTGCCGCTCTTACTTCAATTAATGGTTTTGCCACTGCAAGTTTATTAAAATTAACACCTATTCATCCAATGAGAGGTTTAATATCGATTTTAACTAGCCCTTTACCCCTCCAAATTTTGTGTCACGAGAGCTTAACAATTTATTTATTTATTATTCCATAATTAACGAACCAAAGACCTACCTAATTTAGGCAACTACGGGTATGACGTATGGACATATGTGAGAGTAAATTAGTTCTTTTAGAGGTGTACGCCATGCACAAAGCCTTTCGATTACTTTATTGTTGAAGTTAGTAAAGTAGTATGATTTAAATTGCGACGACTGAAACTATATGAACCAAAATAAAACTTCACAAGCCCATCTTCCTTCCTACATTGTCCTGCAAGGTAAGAAACTTCAGTTAAGGCCCAGTTTGGTTAGATTTACAGTGTGACATAAATTTACTAATTAACCCGCCACATTCACCTAACAGTAAATCAGTAACACTACCGAGTCCAAATCTTCGTCGGAATCTGTTTATGAGGATCTTATGAATTTATAAATTGTGTACGTTCATCATATGTAATGCGGTTATAAATTATTTTAAATATTTTTATTTAAAAATAAACATAAATAGTACATAATAATGTAAGATGAACGGACACGATTTACGAATTTTCAAGATACTTGCCAAAAAGGATCAAGAGAGAATCATGTTGGAACACTACCAACCTTGAACAGCAGAATATTGACAGCAAAACAAAGTTATCTCCACGACACCCAATCCTAGTCTGACACCTCAGCAAACGTACATCAGACGACGTGGCGAATACCCAAAGAATGCTCTCCCCCCTCTCTCTCGTATAAACACCGACTGGTTCTCTCTTTCCTCTCCCCGTTTCGTATTCGTATTCCGTATATAAAATTGTTCATTGAATTTAACCTGGACAGGAGGTGGTGGTGGCGGTGGATCGGATCGGAGCAGATCGAATCGGATCGATTCGGATCGGACTGTGATGGCGGAGGACAAGTACAACCTGAAGAACCCGGCGGTCAAGCGGATACTGCAGGAGGTTAAGGAGATGCAATCCAAACCCTCCGACGATTTCATGAGCCTCCCCCTCGAGGTTTCTCACTTTTCCCAATAATTTTACAAATTTGGATTATTGATCTTGTATTTTTTATTTTGTTTAATTCCGCTTTGATGGTGAGATTTGAGTTTAATTCCAGAATTTTGATTTGAATTGAATTTTAAATATTGGGGGTTCGAGCTGAACTTTTCTTTTTAGTTAATTTTTGTAAATTTCGCATTTGTTTTAAATTTTATGGCTATTTTGAAATTAGGGATATTGTTTGGACTAAATGCTAATTATCAATGTATCAATATTGTTAGCTGATTAGTGTTTGTTTTCAGGAGAACATATTTGACTGGCAATTTGCAATCAGAGGCCCTAGTGATACCGAATTCGAAGGTGGGATTTACCACGGGCGTATCCAGTTGCCGGCGGAGTACCCGTTCAAACCCCCTTCATTCATGTTGCTGACGGTAATATGGTGTGCATTTTTGAGGTTAATGCGCTAGTTTGCTGGTTGGGATAGTTTTTCAGTCATGATGTGTTGACTTGTTTACTTCCCTTGCAGCCAAATGGTCGCTTCGAAACCCAAACCAAGATTTGCTTGAGCATATCGAATCATCATCCCGAGCATTGGCAGCCATCATGGAGCGGTAAATTCCACTCTTTCTTAGACATTGTGTATGCTAATGCGTAGTTATGCTGACAAAATGTCTCAAGAGCTATAATTTTGGAAGCTTATTATTACGTAAATAGGCCTGGCAGTGTTCCAATGTGCATTTTGTACGTGGCATCCCTATTGCTTAGCCCAATCCCACATCCGAATTGATAACATTGTAACAGATATCCATTAAATCATGGTTGGCTTGAAATGGAGTTGGAACTGGACTTTCTTAGTCCAATGATCATATCACTATGATGTTCTTTGTTTCGGACTTTTCTCTTTATTCTGAATGAGTATCTATTGAATTTGTTGACATTTTAAGTGGTATTTGAGAACACGGTCTGTATGCTGATGTGAAACACAGCTGGAATTTGAGTTGATTCCTCGATGATTGACATTGTATTCTCATCTTGCTAATGTACTGTGTCTGTTGGCAGTGCGGACTGCTTTAGTTGCACTTATTGCATTCATGCCTACCAACCCAAATGGTGCATTAGGTTCACTGGAATACAAGAAGGAAGAAAGGCGTTCTCTGGCCATGAAATCTCGTGCAGCAGCCCCTAGATATGGCACTGCAGAACGCCAAAAGTTAATGGATGAGGTAAAATAACCAATGAAATTTCCACTGCAAATTAACACAGATGAAGTTTTTGTGTTGGGAACTTGCTAACGGATAATAGTAATCTCACAGATTCATGAATGTATGCTGAGCAAGGCACCCCCTGTCCCTCAACTGAGCACCTCACAGGCTTCGGAAGAGCATCCTTCAAACAAGGAAGGCGATGTTCAGGAGAGTTCCGAAAGCGCTGGAGCCACACCCGCTGAGGAAACTTCTGGGGAAGGGCCTGCAAACCCAACAGCGGGAGACAGGATTGTTGAAGAAGTACAGGAAGCCACTCTGAATGCTAACCCTGCCCCTGAAGTAGCAAGGGCGTTGAATGGAGCTCCTTCCGCCGGATCAAGTCAGCTGCTACAGAGGCCAGAAGTTAAAGTACAAAAAGCAGCTGACGATCGCTTGTTCACATGGGCTGCTGTTGGACTTACCATTGCTATCATGGTTCTGCTTTTTAAGAAGTTTATGAAATCCAGCGGACACGGTGCTGTTTTCATGGATGAATCTTAAGATTCAGTGACGATTCGAGCTGCCTTTGTGAACAGAATATGCCCACGTCTTATATGGTAGTTAAAGAGACATCTGTTTTAAAGTTTTAACATCTATTTGAAGCATCTGAGATCTCTTATGAATCTATGATCATCAAAAATGTCCACAGTTGTAAGTAAACTTAAAATGTTTTGTCATCCCAGAAACATTTTCCTTCTCACACGGATAGACAAATCAGTGGTATACTGTCACCTTTTATTTATTTTGTCAGATTGAAATCGAAGTGGTAACACGTTATGTTTTTCTCTTTCTTACATACTTTTGTTTAATCATGTACGTTATTATTTATTTAATTTTTTTATGGTTATGGCCATAAATCATGCATGTCGTTTTCATCTTATTTTTAATCAGACGGCCATAAGTAAAAAATGGTGAAGGTCTTGAAAATGAAATGCGCAAGTAGAAATGAAAAGAGGTGAAGGAAGAGAAAATCTCGAATTTTAATTAATTAATTATACATGCTAGAATGATCTAATTCAAACATGTTCCCGTCGCGCCAAAGTTAGCGTAAGCCTTGGGTTTTTCTGCAGTGAAATATTTCATCCCAAGTCGACAACCTCTCCATAAACAGAAACTTTTCGATCGCTACGAGAAAACACGGGATCAAACGAGTTTGTGATCTCTCATCGTAGCACCGAATCGCATCTGTTCTTTCATATATCTAACTATTCTACTTAGTCGTACTTTCAGTGTAATCTCCTATTCTAACAACATTAGTGGTCAGCAAATAATTTAGGAAGAGATTATGCTACGCTATTCCATGACCGGTATCACGGCGCATGACTCAAAATTTGATGAGTTTTCCGTTATCCTGCTTCCAGCGGCCTATATCGAACGTATTAGCTCCATTCTCTAACTTCGCTTTTCGCCTCCGTGCAGCCTCAGCTTTCTTTAATTGTCGTTCCACTTCCAGCGGCCTATATCGAACACATTAGCTGCATTCTCTCAGCTTCCCTAGCTGCATTCTCTAACTTCGCTTTTCGTCTCTGTGCAGCTTCAGCTTTCTTCAATTGTCGTTCCACTTCAGACATTGCCTCCTTCTTGCCTGTGGTCAACCAGCCAACAGAAAAACTGAAAACAAGTTCAGTACGCATACGCATATATATGGATATATTCAATATAGTCAGAATCATGCAACAACCACGGAGATAAGATGCGCACTTTTAGGTGGGACGGGAAGCAAATCACTTGCAATGTCAAGAAAACCTGAACCAGGAAAAATAAGTTTTCCAGGCTGCAGGGTCCGGTTACGTGTAGTGAGGGTCGATTCTTTCCTCCCTTCTAGAAGTAGACTAAGAGATCTTTCAGCTTCTTCCCGTTTGGTTCAGGTTCATCATCAGATGTCAATTCTTCTTCATCTTCTTCTCCCAATCTTCATCCTCGTGCATTTTTTCCGAGCTTGACCTTTTTTGACTAGCTTTTCCCAGCCTTGAGGGCTTATACTCTCCACTATCATCTCCATGAAAGCGAATGTCCATTTGAATTCTCTCTGAACGAGCAACCTTCGATGCGCTTAATCTTTCAAGGAATTGGATTTCTTCATCTTCATCATCTTCTTCATTAAATCCAGCACCCAAGGTGCTTCTCTTAGGAGCCCGCTTGCTCTTACGAACTGGCTCATTGACCCCATCTCCACCTGCATCAATAATGTTATGATACACGGCATCGTGTAACTTTTGAAACCAAAATAGCAACCGTTGAACTACAAATTTTCGAAGAGGTCCTTGTCATTACAGTTGTGATTATACAGAATTAAAAGAAAAATCATTGGAAAAATCAGACAGGATGACAAATAAATTCCACCGTACAGGTCGTACAAAATGAGACCTGTTAACAATTGCAATAGTAACAAGAATCAGGGTGCGGTACCTGAGCAAGGGGATTCAGTTGGGGCGTGAAGGCATCTAAAGAGCTTGAAGATTTAGCTGTGGACGAGCCACCACCATCGCCAACATCTGTTATATAGTTGGTGTTGATTGTATGAGTAACATCTCCAAACTTAAGCTTTAACTTCTTCGGGTTGCTCTTACTTCCGAGTACATTAGAAAGCACTATTTTCTTCTTATTATTCTGATCCTGATCAATGGTTCCTTTGCCAATAGGGATACTAGAGGTGAGGGAAAATGTCGGTGGATTTAAGCGAGGTTTATGTGACACGATACTCCTCTTCTTCCTGACAATGCAACCTCCAGGCGAAAACCCAGCGCCACCCAAGCTTTCCATTTATACTAAAATCGTTGCAGTGTTCTTTATGTTTACTCAAATCTCAGAAGACAAGGGGTGGAAGATCAACACAATTCCATTAATTTAAGAATCTGCAGTGAGCCTGAAGATTATAATAACAAGTCCCTCGGTAAGAAGTAAATCAATATAATCCTATAAATCTAATGGTGCCAACAAGTTAACATATTTTATTAACATCAGTTCTAGCAAACGTGCTTACGAGCCCTACAGAAGCAGTCCCAAAAGGACATGTGAGCCCTACAGAAGAAGTGAAGGAGCAGCCGGAAGCACAGCGGTGGAACTGGAAGAGCGAGGAGAAACACCAGCCCTAATGTGGGGGGAAAAGGAAAAGAAGATTGTACTAGTAAATGCTGAGAAAGTGAGAGTGATAGAGAGGAATGGTTTTGGTTCTGGTTTTTGTTTTGGTTTGGTAACGCATGAAAGTTGAGTGATAGAGAGGAATGGTTTTGGTTCTAGTTTTTGTTTTGGTTTGGTAACGCATGAAAGTTGATTAATATGAGTAATGCTATTCATACCATATTTTTGTACCACATTTCTGTACCACCTTAGGTGGTATCTGATCTGGATTATTTGAAAATTTTGCAAAACCCAAGAAAATGAAGGAGAAAGACTCCTCATATACCACAATCATCATTTAATTAACTAGTTTTTCTTAATTATTAGTTTATTAAATAATAAACTAAATTTAAAAATATGATTAATTCAAATAATGTAGCTGCTCACATCCAATGTCATCTAAAATGATATGAAAATATAATACAAAAACATGATATGAATATCTCCTTCATTTTCCTCTGTTTTTGTTTTTCCTTCCATTTACTTGGCACAGCTTTTTATTGCTCAAGTGGTCAAGCCCAAGACTTGAGGCGGGCAACGCCAAGCCCAAACAGATCATAACTCTCTCTTATTTGCTTCTTTTTATCTCGATTTAGTAGTACTCTTCAAACATAGTGGAATAAATAATGTAGTCTCGAAATACAACTTCTCCCTTATTTTTCTTATTCTGCAAATATTTCTTCCTGTTTTCCTAATAAGAGAGGAGTGCAAAACATTTTTAGAGTGTTAACAATAGTTTACTTCAAAGTTTATATTCGTATAGGGATATATACAAGTAATCCTATAGGCTATGTACAATGCTTCTCAAGGAATAAAGACAAAAGATATACAAGCTATGGTACAAAAATAAAAATGTAAACTTTCTTTAATTTATATATTCCTAAATCTCTACTCTTCTCAATTTGCTAGCTATGTGATGTTTTTCGTGCACAACAAGAAACATCACAAAACAAAATGGAAGGAACTGAAGGTATATATAGATCATGATCATCCCTTGATCAAAGAAGCAATGGCAAGGCCATTGCTGGCCATTTTATGAAGCTTGTCATCGTAATCACCAAGCGGAGATTGCTGTCCTTCAAACCCATCCCCACACGTCACAGCATCGGTCACCACCCCGCTAAGCATGCTATTAATTGTGCCCATGTCGCGGCTCTGGATTGCATCAATGGCGCTCTGAAGGCCGTCCAAGGCATCAGAGTACATTTCCTTGCAATCACTTAGTGCAGCGACCGTGCCACGTGCAGTGTTAGGCGTCGTCACAAGTTTTGAGGCTGCGGCTAGAGACATCTGGGCGTGTGCGGTGCAAGCCTTGATTGCCATCTCAAGCGCGGATATGGGGTCAACCTTGGGTGGTTGGAAAGGGGTCAGGGATGAGATGCAAAGATCAGGGTAGTCTGTGTTTTTGCATATTTCTTGGATTGCCGGGTTAGGTGGGGTTGATGATGAGGCTGTGTTAGGAACAAAAGGCTGCAGAAAGAGGTTTCCACGCGATCTGTCAAAAGGACGGCGAAAAAAGGATGAGGAGGAAGATGGAGAAATAGAATTGCCAGCAGGAGGTGATGCTTGTGGAGGCTGTGAAGGAGGGTTTGGGGCCGGAGTTGGGGCCGAAGTAGGGCTACGGGTTGGTGGAGGGCCTGCTGGCCGCGATGAAGGGAAGACTTTACCCGCAGGTGGCTCACTAGGAGGCACAGACGCCTGCGAGTTAGGAGAACTAGGTGCTGAAGAGAGAACGGTTAGGTACCTCAGTTTCAAGTCCCGGGGCTTGCATACGGCTTGCACGGAGTTGAAGCCGAAAAGGAAGAAGAATAAGATGACGAGAGGCGTTTGAGTATAGCACTTTGGATCCATTGTTGTTCTTGAATTTGCTTGCAGGGTGGAGGGAAGTAAAAGAGGAGAAAATGAAAGAATGGGAGGCTTTTGAAAGATAATTTTAAGCATGCAATAATAGCCACCGTGTGTGTTTTGGTGAATTAACGGCTTTGTTTACGGATTGTTTGACTATCAATGGAATTTAACCTTAATTAACACATTCTTTTGTATTCACAAGTGGTTTTAAAATTAGAGGGCTAGAATTCAATCTCCTATAAGAGGTGATGGTCTCTCACCGTAATCCGTTGCCCCAAACCCTGACGGATCTTAATCCTAACCCATTACCTGCTAGTCCTTCATCACTTGGGGCAACCCTGACGGATCTTAATCCTAACCCATTACCTGCTAGTCCTTCATCACTTGGGGCAACCCTGACGGATCTTAGAGTCCTTCATCACTTGGGCTAACCGCAAGGTCGCCTAGCTTAAGCTCTTCAGCTAAAATAAAGAGCATTCAGTTTGGAGCGCATAGATATTAAAAAAAATGTGTGAAAATCGCTATCCCATTAATTTGGAAGCAGCTGCACAAGTCGTAAAGTTGAACCTTCTTCAAGATAGTTAAATAGCTGAAATTAATTTTACTGAATGTAGATTGCTGAACCTGAGGAACTTTAATTAATCAAGCCTTGAATTCTGGTAAGCGAATCACCATCTCGGACTACAAGTTGAATTCATATTATAGACGGTAGCAAATGCATATAACGTAGCGATATACGCACATCAAATCTGTCCAACTTCAACGTACCGCAACAAACAGTTGAAACCTTAATTTAACTAGATCTTATTAAGATAAAAACTAGATCTTGTGCAAACTAAAAGGCTCAGTTGCAGGTAAGGAAGCAATTGATGCATCGCATTTATTTACCCAGCATGCATTGAGGACAAAGGATTTAGCTGGCATGGGACTCGGAACTAGTCTTGACGACAGTAACCGGGCATGAAGCATTATTTACGATATGGTTGCTGACACTGCCCATTATAACCCTGCAAAAACAACGTCGAAATTCAATTAAAATCTAAACATTAATCAAAGAAACATAAGTCAACACAAGGGGGCATCCTTAGTTAGCAGTTACTACAAAAATAATTTCCAATGTGAAGGTTGAGAAACTAAGATGCATCATTATCTTCAACTTAAATCACTTTGCAAGGTTTAGATGTCGAGTTTAATCTTAAAAAAGTCGGAGTATTAACGTTGTACAACTAATTATCGGAAGTGGGATTATTATGTGATTTGCAATCACAAACGCACGAGTTGTAACAGAACAAACAGTGTAAGTGTCAAGGAAAGTCTTATGTTGGGCATTAGTCTAGTGTTGCCATCATGGAACCCAAGAAGTCGAGAAGAACTTGATTGCCAAAGAGCCAACCACAAAACAACATGGACAACAATGACATCCCCTCAACCAGCTCTACCACATGTACACAAAAATGCCAAAATATACAGACACAAACACAAATTCAAGGCCTGTGAATAGAAGTTTACTTGTTAATTTAGGACACGTAACAATTTCGTCAATACAAAGGACCAACATACCTAAGACCTTCCATATACAAATGAAGAGGAATACCACGAGTGAAGAGGAACAACACTAGACCGTAGTACTAATGGCACAATTTCTCTGTCTGTTAAACTACCAAGTTAACTGATATTTTTTGACAGTGCAATTCATTCCACAATTAAATCCGAAAATGCTGATGGACTATATGAATTTGTACCTCTTAAGCTTGCCAAGGCCTCTGTTTCCAATAACAAGGAAGCTCAAGGGGGTCTTGTCAATTGCCTCGAGAATCTTCTCACGGGCATCGCCCCAGTAGATCTTCATCACCACCGTCACCTGCTCCCATCCAACTAAATAGTTATCATTTTTGTAATAATCCCATTGCAACAAAGATTAATTGGCATGATCCTTCAAGATTAATAATTTCACTGATTGAAACAAAAATCGATTTATAAAAATGAAACTAACGAAAAGTTAAAAAAACTTTTATATTAATCAAAAACCCTTTTTAAAGATACAGTGAATAGTCAATAGTACAGGAAAAGGTATAAATGTGATTTTTCGTTAAAAATGAACAGTATCGAAAGTGTTTTGTTAATCCTTCCTTTATAAAATCTAACCTCTTTCTGCGTCGCAGTGTTGGCGATGTCGATGGTTTCAGCGTCAGGCGTCACTCCATACTTCTTCATGATGGTGGGATCAGAAAACTCCTTCACAGGAATCAAAGCTGCAAACAAGTTATTCAATTTATCAATTAATCACCATGCATGGACGTGTAATTACAAACAAAACCCACAAATCAACACTAAAAACCAAACACAAATTAACAAAAACACACAGAAATTTTCCGAACTTGAACCAGAAAATCTTGATCAGAGACCACAGTATTTTTATGTTTTTTTCAATTTTTTTTATCAGAGCTGAAAACTCAGTCAATTTAGCAAGCAAACACTCATCACAACCAAAACCCAAAAATTAAAATTAAAAATTAAAAACAAATGAAAACAAGAGAGAGAGTGAAATTTTCAATCTTGATCTATAAATTTTGAATGAGAGAGAGAGAAAGGGAATACGTGAACCGGTGACGCCCCAGAGCTGCATCTCTCCCTGCTCGTAGTTCTCTTCAGGCCGGACGACAATCAAGATAAGGTGATCGCCTTTCCGGGCGACGTTCTCGACTGCCCATTTCAGGGCCGCCCTGCTGCCCGGCGAGAAATCCACCGCCACTCCCACTCTCCTGTCTTCCATCTCTCTCTCGATCTGGAAAAGCTGGTCAGAAACAACACCGAAAGTTCGGAATCTGAGAAAGAAGAGCTCCTTATGCAAAGAGCACAGTGAAGGAAAGTCCGTTAGGTGGACAAAAATGATGTGATGGCTCCACTTGTTAGTAGTTTATGTGAGCCGTTGGATGGTTATCCGTGTGGGGCCCTGAGTATTGTGATGGGTGGCATCGGACGGTGGATGTTAAAACTACACCGTGTATTATGGGAATAAGACACGAACGAGTAATGACAATTGAATAGGTTAAAACTACCATGTATTTTTGTTCACAATAATTTAGTGTGGTATATCCTCATCATCTTATATATCATTATTAAGATAGTGAGCATAAACCACATTAAATGATGATGAATAAAAATGCTTTCTGAAAACTATGATCTGTGTGTCATTGTGTCGAGATCAAGAGTGTTTCGCCCCAAACGCGCGTAATTGAAACGACATGTCGTTTGCTTTTCTGAGCTTCAAATGGAGGGCTTTGATTGCTTTTACAAGGTTGAGAATGAAAGCAAAGACTGCAACTTGGGGATTCTCTTAGTGTTCCACGGTACTTAATATTCTAGATTTTTTGAACCGTTAGATCCTCTGTTAATGATTTTTGTATTTGAAATTTGATCAGATTACATTTTTTATTATTAAAAATTGTTCTTTTCAGTAGGTCAAAATTTAGATCCGATTTTTGTCGTCGGTAATCTTTATTGGTCGGTGATTTGTAAAAACTAAAAATAGAGTTGGATCCATCTATAAGATCATCTCCAATGGTGATCTAAAATCCAAAAACATTTAGCCCAGAAAATTTAGGTTTTAGCCCAAAAACAATTTTTCTACTTCAACCATTCTGGTCTAAAATTTTAGCCCCAAATTATCAAAGAATGAATTAAGGCTAATTTTTTTTTTAAAGTAACTTTAAAAAAAATACAAAATTATGTAGACTATCTTAAATTAAATTTATGAACATTTTAACCTAAAAATATTTAAATTCCGATAAATTTTGAAAAATCACTAGATCAATACATGAAAATCATGATAAACCACATAAACTTAAAAAAATAAAAATAAAATTAATAAACCACTTAAACTTAATATAATCGAAAACTCATAGACTACATAAATTTAATAATGATATCCATCATCTTGACTTGGTGATGGACTTGGGTGATAGTCTTGAGATGAATCATCATCTTGAAATATACTCCTTGTGGCATTCCTTCGTAAAATTTCCTTTTGTTTACCACGTAAGTATTTCTTCCTCTCTGGAGTGTATTTGTCGAGGTCATCCATTATCAAATTAGTTTCGTACCTTTCTTGCTCTCTATCCCCTTCTTCCTTCATGGCCAAAAATATTTAGGGCGATTCTTCTTGCCGACGGCACTGGTTTTCGTTCATTCTTGCCATTTCGCTAACAAATTGTGCACGTATTGGATCTTGGGACTTTCCTTTTCTCTTTGCTTCCTTTTGCTTATCTCTACCTGGGGGCCTTGGAAAAGAAAAGGTTGGGCTCATTTGGTCGACACCTTCATTGTCGGCAAAATTCACACCTTCATTGACATCATTTGGGGGTGGGGCTTCATTATGAAATAATCTTCCACATTGTTGATTCGCATCGGTTCCCCACCTCGGACAATCCTTGAGGATGTTCCAAGCATGATGCAACTTAAAAGCTTGATTTTTTGGTATAGTTCTTGTCTTGTAAATTGCCATTGCTTTGTCATCCTATGCAACAAATACATAAAAACAATTAGTTGCAAAATACTATTATGTACATGACAACTAAAATATCAACAAAGAAACTCACAATTTCTGAGGCGTCCCTTCCACTAGGCATGTCAACCATGGCTCTCTCCAAGCTTCCCTTCCACAAAGTGCACGCTTTGTTGATAATCTTCCACTGATCATAAACACCACCAACTTCCCTTCGACCGGCATTGGAGTTTTCATGGAACTTATCAACGATTTTACCCCACAAAACCTTTCTATTTTGATTGGTGCCGACAGCACCATCTTCGCTAACAGAAATCCATGCCAAACATAAAGCAATATCTTCGTCAAAGGTCCAATTACAACCTCTAACATGCTCTTTTGCCATCTCAAAAAATTTGGAAATGAGAAGAAATGGTAGAAAGAAAAATTGGAAGAATTGTAGGAGAAAAGTGAGTTTTGTGTAGATGTTTGAACAAGTACATAGGTATTTATAGAGTTTTTGGTTGAATTTTAAGTTAAATAATTTTTTAAAATTATTTTAGCCGTTGGATTTAAATTTGGACCGTTAGATCTTTTTTTTACCGTTAGATTTGATTATATTCGATCTAAGCCGTTGGATTCAATAAATATATAAATATAAAACTTAAAAAAAATAATTTGAACCTAGACCGTTGGATGAAGAAAAGTAGCCGTTGGGCTACAGTAAAACTGACAGCAGATTGGACAACCCACGTGGGTGGGCCTTCAGCTGCACTGTTCATGCGCGTCAGGGAGATTGAGTTTTGGGGTGTGGGCTTCATAGCCCACTTTTCACTCTCATCCGTGGGTCCCACTTCAATTTGTGGGCTAAATTTGTGACTGGTATTTGGGTTCATTTTAAGTTTTAGGTTTTGGGTTGGAGTGGATTTTGGGAGGAAAAAAAGGAAAAATTTAGGTTATAAGTCACCATTGGAGATGGAGTAGCCACCATTGTAAAAATATAGAAGGCTTATATTATGTCTTTACTCTGAGATGGAGTAGCCTCTCTGCTCCTCCTATACTTTTTTTCTCAGCCAAAAATACCATAAAATGAATAAATAAAGTTTTAAATGTTTAATCATTGGGAAATTACTTTTTACATGTTTTTTTTAATTTTTTTACACACACAGCTGTTTAGATCTGTTATTTGATTTTTTTTTTTTTAATTCTTCAATTTAGTGGATGAAGTTATACGTGTTTGTATAAAGTGAGAAAATGGTTGGTGAAAATCACTTCTTAAATCATAATGTGACAACCGTTTACATCTGGTTCATTTATTTCATGTTAGAAATGCAGTTGATTTGTATTGTAGTCAATAAATAATATCCAACTATTTGCATCTCGTTCATTTATTTCATGTGGAAGATATAGTCAGCAAATTCAATACGTGTACCGTTATCCATTATTTATCATGTACATTAAAAATAGATACATTCAAGTAAAAAACAAACAATTTCACATCAAGTGTGAAAAAGGTGCATGATATCAGCAAATTCAATACGTGTGCATCATCCATTATTTATCATATACGTTAAAAATAGACACATCCAAGTAAAAAAACAATCAATTTCACATCCAAGTGTGAAAAGAGATGAATGATTATTTGCTCTAAATATCCAAGTGTGTGAAGAGATAAACGATTATTTGTTCTAAACGTGGTGGAGAGCAAAGGTAAGAATGGAAAAGCAAGCTCCAACAAAGGTGAGAAGAAGAAGCAAAATTGCAACAACAAACACAACAACCGAGGTAGAAGTTTTGAGATGCGTGTGCTTCAACTTCCGCCGCTTTTCATGCCAACTCTTTCTCTTGTACTCACCTACCTCTTCAAAAATCCTCACGTAGTAAAAATCCTTCAAGCTGATCTCCTTGCATAGATTCTTAAACACTTCGAAAACCTCGTTATCCTTCTTCTCGTCGTGCGTGAGAATCTCCCTTCGCCGGAGGAACTTCACATCTTTCTCAGAGCTGATGAGGCATCCCATGAGGAAGGCGTAGGATGTGACGTGCTGTACTGTATCGTCAATCTGACGCTGCTCCAGTGCAACGAGGTTCCGGAGAAGTGTTTCTGTGTATCCGTGGACTTCAAGAGAGGGGATTTTGAAAACTCCGCGAGAAAACTTGATGTCCAAGAAACTTGGGCTTCTAGCGCTCTTGAACTTAATGCCTGCCCTTTTGAGAATTTTTGCACAATCCATATTTTTGGGAGGTGTATCTTCTTTCGGTGGCAGTTTTGGATATGTTGGGAGGATGGAATGTCGAATCAGATCGAGCAAATGATACCCTTCTCGGTTGAACTTGTCTTGGATAACATGCTCATCATCTCCCGGGATTATTCTATTGCAGAAGCGTGCTGCGAGCTCACTGAGTGACTCATTACATTTTTTAGGAAGCGGTACTACTTGAAACAACCTTTGAACAACAAAGAAAGGAATTTGGTTTTCTAGTAACAATGCCAAGTCATTCCTCATGCCGAAAAGCATCCCTACCGTGCTGAATATAGGATCTCGTCGCGATCTGAGGCTCTTGTAAGCGTACTTAAGAAACAGCTCAATGATGAAGCAGCCATCAACTAGCAACAACTGAACAAATTCATCACTAGAGAGGCCAATCTCTCCCTCGTAGCATCTTCTCGCTTTGTGCTCTAACTCTCTAAGAGCTTTCACACAGATGCTCAAGCTTGCTTCTAAATTTGGATTTCGATTGAGGAGTGCATAAGAATACCGCCACTTATCATCTTCCCCGACTTTAGTAGGTTCTCTGCGGTGCAAAGGACCGATGGAAACATTCTCCGGAGTATACTTCTTTTTGTTGCCATCAAGAAGTTTGTCGGGGACTTGGAAGATGCAGACTGATACAGCAACGTTTTCCATCTTTTCTTTGATGGAAGATACAAGGACATCATGCTCAGGAATGATTTCGAGGGCGACATGGTCTCTTGTTTGTGGCTCAGGAATAATTTCGGGGGCGACATGGTCACTTGCTTGTTCCTGTTTCTCTGATCTGTAACTATTTTCCATCCTTCAAAGGGGAGTATTGGAAATTATCAAAAGAACCTGCAATGACTGAGAATCTTTTAAATTTGACTCTAAATGAAGCTTTAGTAATGTGGTAAAATCCTGCATTTGGTTTTCGGGAAGTAACTTCCGCACTTCATTTTTCTCCCCTTGTACTCCCCCCTTTTTTCACCATTCTGATTGAATAAATCAAACAAAAATCAATAGACACGAACAAGGATAGCAGTCCAGAAGGAGAAAACGAGAATGCGGGAATCATTTCCCTGATCTTCCCCAGCTTTCTCAGCTCACAAGATATGAGTATAGTTGAAAAAGATTTGGAAATGATTTACAAAACACAAGCATGGTTAATCATAATCTTAATAAAAGAAAAGCATGGTTAATCACAATCTTAATACAAGAAATTGAGTGAAAATAATTTAAAAGCTAAAGCCAGGGAACATATAAATTTTCTTTACATATCAAAGTGAGCTTTAAAACACCACAACAAAAACTAGTTCTTATCATCAGTTGGATAGAACATTTCCACTATGATGTACATTAATCTTAGGGGTGTGCTATCCACACTCCCCTTTTTACTTCTCACACACCCTTTGTTAATTTCTATCCGTTGATCTTTCTTAATGCATCCGATCCGACGGCCGAAAATTAGAAGAGTGTGTGAGAAGGTAAAAAGAGGTGTGTGGATGTCACACCCCTAATCTTATAGATATATGCATCACCGGTCAACCAGTTGTACCTTATCCCACAAAATGGGATCCCGCTCCTGAAATTTTTTTAACATCGAACATTTCCAAGACAAAAAAAATACAGAAAAAAAAAACACACACACACACACACATGGTGGTTTAGGGGTCAGTGTACCTTGCTAATTTTGGAGCTTTGAATAACCCAAGCAGTGAGCAAGATCAGTTTCCATTGTTCTAGTTAATGATGAAAGAAGACTTGTGGAGGACCAAAATATAGGTGCATTTTGGTGTGAAAGAGCTGATTGGAATCAATGTTAACTTGTGGGGTTTGGCAAACATGCCCAAAACAGTTCAAAATAAATTAAAGGAACCACAGCAGAGAGGGCAGAGGCAGATTCTCTCTGAAAAAGGTATTTGGAAACCGTAAGAAAGCATAGCTTTGTGCAAAGTAAGAGTTAAATGTTAATTGCTTGAAAGCAAATTTAAGTATTAGTTGTAGCAGTGTGAACTCACTCTAACAGTTGTGAGGATGCGAAGAAATGTCCAATGTCGGAAAAGTATGAAATATTGCAAGGACTTAGAAGGAGTTGGGGAACTCTCCCTATTGCAAATCAAAGCAAGTCACGTGAGGGGCGCGAGGTGAGGATGTGAAGAAATGTCTCACCTCAAAAAGTTAAGACTTTTAGCAAGAGCTTATAAAACGTCAAGTCATTTTCAATAGTTTTAATTAAGATTCTAAGTTTGTTCTGAGTTACAATATTATAAATGACTTTCGCGTGAAAGACCCTTTAGTATGAAAGCATCAACATGGCTTCTTGCTAGTTGTTAATTTGTTTTTTTTTCTTCAAGATAGTTACCTTAAGAATATGGTAAAGCCAGTGGAGTACGGAACCTTATGGCCATGTGTTTCATGTGTTTAAGCTTAAACTGTTAATTATTAATTAATTAAGATAGTTAGTCCTAACTTGCTACCACAATACCTGCCTGCAGACTTAACCAAATTCATTTTCATTTGGGACTTTAGACATCCTAATTAGGCCTTAATAGGAGGCTTTTTTTTTCTTTTTTTTTTCTTTCATTAACTTGAAAATTTTCACTTCAACTCACTTTTGGTCATATTTTTCAAATCATGACTCTTATTCATTATTATGTGCAGTTAGATCGCTAGAGACTAAATCTTCTTCATATTCGTTACTTATTTTACATGTTTTTCTTGGTTAGACGCAGTGTGTGCTATGAGGACGAGACTTTGATTTGTAGTTGTAGTCATAATTATGATCTATGAACATATATAATGCTAGATTTTGATGATGTGAGGTTCTTAGTTATTTTTGCGACCTTGTCCGTTTAAGTCTTGACATTTTGAAAATGTTCTGATTTGATAATTTGGTTGATGAATTTTCTAATATACTTTGTAGTATTCTATAGTGTACACTAGAAATTTGTACCTTTAAATTCTAAATCAATGATTCAATAACCAAGCTCTAACCGCAAAAAAAAAAACTTGTTTGGTTGGTATTTAATAAGAGTCTATTTTTGCCCACCCCTTCTAACTCAAAGTAACCATTACCTCCCTCTAGAGTCGTGTCACGTGTCTAAAACAACGACCATGATTACTCTACACTCTTTAATTATTTCATATGATTAATTGGATAGAAAACTTACCATAAATACTTTGTATATATCTTCTTATTAAATATTTGGTTGGAATCTTTAATATATCATTTCTCTTCCTCCTCCATCGGCTACATCATCCACAACTCGAACCATAGAAGAAACAAAACAAAAGATTCGCAAATTCAAAGAAGCAACAACACATTGGAAAAAGATCACATACTATATGGATATACACTTGAATAGATTATATGGTAAACAATTAACAAAATAAAAACGTAAGTAGGTTTATCCTTCGATTCCTTGCCCCTGTATGGTGGGCTAGTTGCAATAGATTGTAACCAATTAAAATAGACTTGAGTTTAACCTACTGTTTTGTTGTGTCAAAATGTAAGCTGGACAATATGAGTTATGAGTTCACAATAGAATGAGTTATATAACTTATTTTTATACTTGAGTTACAAGTCATGTCTTACAAAGCCTAACCAATCTATGCTAATTCAATCTTATCTTTAAGGCCCAATCTCTTCAACCCACTAAACGAGTCCGACCCGTTTGGTGGGTTGGAAGAAATTAGACCTTAGGGATCAGATTGAGTTGACATGAACATGTAAGACATGACTTGTAACTCAAGTATAAAGATATGTTAGGTAGCCCACTCTATTGTGGTCTCATAACCAATCATGTCTGGTACTGTCAACAAACAACAAATCTATTTTGCTTGATCACAACTTATCTTATCTAGCCACCAAACGATGTATAATCTTTGGTAGCCGAAGAAAATTATATGAAGTCTCGTATGATATCACACTTTTTATTGGAGTTGTTGATGATGTAGCCGATATGAGGGGGAAGAAGATGGATGATAAGATTCCAATCAAATATTTAATATGAAGATATTATAGAAAGTATAAACTAATTATAATTGGTGTTTTACACGTCACACGATTATGGAAGGGATTACTTTGAGTTAGAGGGTGAGCAAAAATGAACGAAAATTTTTATTTAGATCTATTTATCCTTATTCTACACTTTTTTTTTTTTTTAACAAACAATATTATCTACACTAAGGGGAAGGGTGGGCTTAGCCTCACAATGGGCTAACAATAATATGGTTCAAATTTTTTTTTAGTGTAACGACCCATCCCCAAAAATTATAATTTTTATAATTTTAACATGTCAATGTACGAAAATGCCTTTCAAGGTAAATACGTTGACTTATGTTGAACGCCTTGTCGTGTCACATAAAGTTCATTTTCTTAGCGTAATCTTGTAGTACTCGTCGCTACGAACGCGTGGGTGCAAACGGAACATGATTTAGAGTTATAACAAATGAGATATTAACATTTAAAGTCGGGGGCATTTTAATAAATTGAATATTTTCTAAAGGCTCTAGATTTTTGGAGCAAAATCTGGAAAGCCACATGTGGCCCAAATTAAAGGAAAGAAAAGATGGGCGGTGGAGATGGAAGATAATGGAGAGAAAAGAGAGAATCAACCAATAGGAGAGGGGAGAAAGGAGAGAAGAGGAGAAAGAGAGGAACCCGCCGGGTTCCCCTTGACCCGTACCAGACCCAGCGGCACCAAGGGTGGATCCACATAGGAACCTGGGAGGTTCTAGGACCTATCGGCCATCCTAAATCGCTGCTATAAATTTTTCGGGGACCCCTCGTACTTGAGCATGAGGTATGTGCAGGTTGTAGGTTACAAGTTGCAGTGGCTGTCTTTTTCTCGAAGAAGATGACCGCGCATGGAGAAGAAAGAAAATAGGGACCCTTCCTGCCTTTTTCCTCCTTGCTTCTGCCATGGTCTCATCCGTCGGTGCCACCCACTACTCTTCCAACCTTTCTCTGTCGTCTTCCCCCGGGGGGGTAGTACATAAGCCCAAATTTCCCTAAATTATTTCAACCATCTTAGTAATTTTTCTGATGGGTGAAATTTCCTTCATAAGGTTAGTAAGATGGATATGATCTGTCATGGGTTGGTAAAATTTGGGGGTGGAGTTGCCATGGCTTCGGGAGAATGGGGAGGGAGGCAGTTGGTGGAGGTATGGCAGCTTTGTTCTTAGTGAGATAAAAGGTGGATGTTTGAAAACTAGTAAAAGAGAAAAATTGTGTGTTTGGTTAGAAAGATAGTGGGAGTTTGGGGAGAGTTTTATTTGACCGGTGTTTTAAATTTAGTAGTTCGATAATCAATAACTTAGGTACTCTCTAGTAACTTATGAAATCTCGTAATGGACGCTTGAATTATGATTTTATAATTTGTAATATTGTTTTGCATATGATTTTTGAATGAAAATGTATTATATTTAAATTTTCAATGTTATTTTTGTCTATAAATTTTTTGACCTTTATAATTAGGACCCCCCGAGTTTAAAATCCTGAATCCGCCACTGAGCGGCACCCATGTTTTCCGACGCCATTCAGGCAATTTTTCCGGCGAATCATGCTGCACCACCACCTAGAATCAACTCCACAACCCTTCTTCTTCAAGTTCCACCCCAAAAACCGACGATTTTTGGTCTGGGTTTCATGGGAATGGCACCAACGTCACCATGGTGTTCTTGGTGGCAATCCGCCAATTTTTGAAGTAAATTCCTTCAATCTCTACCACCATTAAACTCTCATTGAACCCAGGAGCAAACCCCAACCAACCATAGAGGCAGTGGAGCACCAAAGGAGTTGAATTAAAGCACACCTAAATCTAAGGTTCCAACGCGTTTGAGTGAAATTGAGGCATTTCCAGGCCAAATTGGCCTTAGACACAGGTATGAAAGTTGTTCCTCTCATCGAGATCTTTTTTCCTGTAAAATTTGAGAATTTTTGGAATAGTTGGATTTTCTGGCGAGTCGGGGAGGCCGACCGCCACACGCGGCGGCGCATGGAGGAAAAACCTGAGGTTCCTCAACGTGCGAAATCCGAATCGGTCATCTATTTCCCCAAATTCTAATATTTTAGTAGAGTTTTACTAAAAGGTACTTAATTGTGTTTAGGCGCGTTGGCAGGAAGCGACCTCATCATCACTAGTTCGAACGGTTCTCAGGCAATAAAATCAGTGAGTGGACCCCTTCTTAACCTATATATTTTTATAAATATTACCTAGCATGCATGGCATACTTCATGATTTGAATATGATTTATATTTTATGGAAACGTTATAAACTATTGGTTTTACACTTAGAAAAGGTTTACGACTATTGTTTTTATGCCCTATGAAATATTACGGATTTATGAAATATTATTGAATGTGATTTATGAGAATGATTTGAGTTGGATAGCTTTCACGGTTTTATATGATTTATGAAACGAGGGTTGAGCTTTTGAGCTTCGATATTTTGATGCGATAATTTGAGATATGTTTATGTTACCTAATGGGTTATAATACGGCACTAGGGGTGGGCACGGGCCGGGCCCAAATTTAGAGGGACCGAACCTGACCCGCTTGAATAGGAAATGGGACGGGCTAAGCCGGGTATTGTAAATCTGATCACTGGAACCGAACCTAACCAGGCCCATTTCAAACGGGCTGGTTCGGGACGGGTCCATAGGTCCTCTTACTTTTTTTTTTTTTTTTTTTTTTTTTCCGGTCTTGATCGCCTCCCGGACTCGCGAATCCTCCCGATCTTCCTATCTGGAATCGGACCTAACCAGGTTCATTTCAAACAGGCTGGTTCGGGACGGGTCCACAGGTCCTCTTACTTTTTTTTTTTCCCGGTTTTGATCACCTCCCAGATTCGTGAATCCTCCCGATCTTCCTCTTGATGTTTAACTCGGTCTCCGATAGCAAGACCCTCATCTGCTGCCGCGCCGTTTTCAAGCGATTCAACTTGTTCGTCCCCCACACAGACTCAAATCGCTCCAGGACCTCGTCGCCTTCCTCAACATCCTCAAATCGCTCCAGGAAAAAAAAATCACACACACAAATGCACATATCTGGGTGCATATCCACAAAGAACAAATCTCTACAGAAATAATATCATAAACTTTAAAAAAAATACCAACACCACGAAGCAAAATATTCAAATTATATAAATTTAATTAAAATGGAGGGGAAAGAAACACCACCAACCCCTTTTTGGAGGACCGAACCTTGAAGAAGCAGCGCAGCTACACCCAACAAAAATTATCACAAACAATTTCAAAAGTAAAAAAATTTAAAGGAAAAATAGTAGTCCGAAGCAAAAGGAACACCTTATGTGAAATTAATAGCAACATGGCCTTCTGCTTCAGTGGGATTTTCATTGGAGCAAATAATCGAGTTCCTAATTGGATTATAGGTCTCTGCTTGCACTTTATGAAATCCGCCTCCACTGCCACCGCTATGAGAGGAGATTGAGAGGGAGGAGATCGAGAGAGAGGTGATCAAGAGAGATCGAGAGGGAGGAGAGATCGAGGGAGAAGAGTGGAGATGGGATAGAGAGAGGGTGAAAGGAGAGTTACGATAAATGGGTAATAATATAGGGTAAATCATAGATGCAATGAACGGTTCGGGCTTGGGGCCCTTTTTCCAATTTTTAGAACTGACCCACCCCGCCCCATTTTGTATTTGTAATTTTTGGACCCACCCCGAACCGCAAGGAATCGGCCTGCCCCCTAGATCCAGGAACCGTTTGCCTACCTCTATACGGCACATCTGCACACCACGGGTATTATATCTATGGCCATAGGACACAGATGATGGATGAGTGAGTTATGATATATATTATACCCCTAGCTTCATTGCTGAAAGCGGTGTCAGACAACTTCACTAGCCACAGTTAGTGTTGGTGTAAATGTTATGCTATTTGATTCAGCTTCACTTACGGGTGATGGACAGATTATTCAGCTTCACCTTTAGGTGATGAACAGGTTATACAGCTTCACCTTCGGGTGATGGATAGATACTGCCTTCACTATGATACCCCTAGTTGAGTACTTGACTAATGAGATTTACCGATTTGCCTTTGGGCTACGTTTCCGACATTTTTGAGCATGGTTTTGCGCATACTGTTTTTATAAACGTTTTCAAGGCATTCTAGGGTTTTTTAGAAAATCTATTATCTAGTATTATATATGTTTTTGAAACAGGGGGTTATTATGTTCATAAAGAAAATGTTTTTCCTATTATTAGTATTATTATAAACTTTGGTCCACTCACCTTTTTTGGTTTTGCACCCCTCAGGAGTTAGGATCGAGGCACATGATCCTGGCTTCAGGACACTTTTGCATATTCTCGAGTCTTCTCAATATAGTATCATTCCTTTGTTCGTATATTTTTCTAGTAATTCTTCTACATTATTCTTAGTAGTTGTATACTCTAAACACGTTCTTGCTATGGTATTTTACATTTTAATTGCATATCTTTTACTTGTATGCATGTTTAAAATGGCTTCGTCACCCTGGGGTGTCGGCCAGCACGTGCCTACCCTAATATTTGAGGTTATCGGGGTTGGGGCATGTCATTTAGCAAGAATTGAACTAAAACCTTTTAGGTACAAATGAAGAGAAATACAACTAGATCGTAGTACTAAGTGGTCCTTCTACACCAAACTTATTATTTTTTGTGTTGAAATTTTGAATGTGCCCAACAATGTCTTTCTCCCCAAAATGAAAAAAAACAAAAATTAAAAATGGATTTTTGTACTAGGAAACTCCAGCCACCCCATCTCTCCAAACCCCAACCAGCCCAATCTTTACCCCTCCCCAACCCCCCACCGCCAAGTCCCCTATACCACCCACACTGAAAACCCCAAAAGATCTCAACCATTACTACCCTTCTCTCGATCTTTCTTTAGCCACACAACATCTCCCTCTTCCATGCAGTCCTTCTAATATGTTTGAATTTTGCTGAAACTATCGACTAACGAATCTAACTGTGTTGCACTATTAAGTGCACGATATATGTGTAGAATCACAACTTTAATATTATCATAAAAAAATTCAGAAAAATATTATGATAAATTTCTTTCGGGTCTTTTTAATGGTAGATTGTTGGGAAATAATATTCTCTTAATTTCCAAATCGTGGGTGGTAGAGGAAGTAAACGGGGGGTAATAAGAGTAAAATCCAGTACCTCACGTGGCATACCGGGTTAACACGTGATTTACAGGATACACAGTAACATTCCCCCCTCGCTCCTTTCTCTCGGTCCTCACTCTCTCTACCTCACAGAGGTTACCTGACCAGATCAAAGATGCCATCGTAGCCGTCCATCTCAAATTTCCCGGCGAAGAAAGTGGAAGAGGAGCCCCAGTAAACAAGTAAGCTCGATCCAATTCCAAAGCCGACTCCTCCGTCGCTTTTTTGGTTTTTTTTTTTTTTTTTCCTTTCTGTTTTCGTTTTGTTTTCTTCGTAACCGAAAAACGCAACTGCAACTTTTTGTTCCAGTCTTCTTCTCTCTCTGCAGCGTAAGGGCGTTTGATTTGTATTCTGTTTCGAAACGATGGCGTTTTGGTGGGCTCTCTTCGTCCTCGGATTCGCTTACGCCGTTTGTAGGTTCCTCTTGATGCTCATTCCCCCCAATGTGCCTTCTATCGAAGTCGATGCTTCTGATGGTATGCTGCTACCCCTCTCTCTCCTCTCTCTCTCTCTCTCTCTCCCGATTGTATTGATTGATTGATTGATTGATTGATTGATTGGGCGTGGTTTGATCAATGGCAGTGTTGGATGATGGGAATCAGACGCAGGAGAACAGTTTCATATACGTGAGTTTCTCTAAGCTTTTTGGCTCCCTTGATTGTAATTGTTACTACAATTTGTAATCTTTGTAAGCATTTCTCTCCAGTTCATTATTGTAGTTAGTTTCTTCGCATTTATCGCTTAATCTGATCTAATTATAGTTTTGGAAGTAATTAAATGGCTTATAATTGCATTCAAATCTGTTTCACTTTGCACTTGTTCTTGTCGCCTGAGTTGTAGTCAATGTGATTGTGTCAAGCACTCAATTGGGTACCTCTTATTGGGGTTTTACGGTGCAGGTACCTCCGAGGGGAAGGACACCACAAGCAGAGACCAAGGTTCAGTGCTATGAGCCTGCAACCATGAAATACTTGGGATATTTCCCTGCACTGACACCCGTTGAGGTGAGACATGTTATGCATGCTTGGATTTGGGGATTGGTGAATTGAATGCGTAGGGAGTTCCAATATTGTACTCCTCTTTCCTGAATTCTAAACGGGTAGATTATTGTTCTGTTCGGTATTAAGTGATGAGCTTGAGTCTGTGCCTGCATACATGGTGCCTGATTTTGGATTCACAAACTAAGTTCAAGTGAGAAAATTGGTGGAGATAAGAATATTACAACTGTTGGGATATTCTGCTTTGTAAATGTCAGGTCAAGGAGCGTGTAGCTCAAGCAAGAAAGGCACAAAAAGTATGGGCAAAGAGTAGCTTCAAGCAAAGACGCCAGTTTCTCCGGATTCTTCTCAAGTATATTATTGAACACCAAGAGCTTATATGTGAGTAAGTACTCTATTCAAACCTCTCTCTCATCTGAAGTATTATGTAGACAAGTTTATGAAATAATGAGAACATATAAATATGTGATGCACTATCTTTCCGTATGAAATTATAAATAGGTGATACTCTATTTACATGGGTTTCTCATTTAGTGTCTTTTTATTGTGGTAGACTATTAATCGAGATTAGTTTGTGTACTTACATATATAAAATTTTGATTAGAATATCTTCACGTGATACGGGAAAGACAATGGTGGATGCCTCTCTAGGGGAGATAATGACAACATGTGAGAAGATCACTTGGCTCCTTTCAGAGGGTGAGCGTTGGCTAAAGCCTGAATACCGGTATTTTTCTTCTGCTTTGTTTACATTTTCTATATCTTATCTGATCTCTGTTAATTTGAGTAACATAACTGTCTGCTGTGGTAAATACCTTGTTGGCCATCTTCATCATGGTTTGTTCAATTGCAGTATCACTGATATATGTTTCGTGATGTTTGCGGACTTGAATGATACCTGTACCACTACCTTCCAGATTTTTATATTTATGTTTAGTTTTTATACTGTACTCTTTTTCGGATATGCACCTTCTTCGTATCAATTTTACCATTTCTATCCAATTTTTTTTTCTTCTTTTTAACCCATATAAGGAGTTTTTTTAACGGTTTTTAGGCAACGGAGATTCACTTCCACCAATGGACATATAAATGCACTGTATTGTGATTATTGTTCGTGACAAAATTTTCAGATGTTGCGGAAGGTCAATGCTTCACAAGAGATCCAAAGTGGAATTTCATCCCCTTGGAGTCGTTGGTGCTATTGTGTCATGGAATTATCCTTTTCATAATATTTTTAATCCAATGTTGGCGGCGGTGTTTTCTGGAAACAGCATTGTGATTAAGGTAGTTATTGTTAGAATGTCCACTGTTATTTTAATTAATCACTATCTGCACTTGTCTCTATATCCGTAATACCTTATTCCATTTGACTTGGTGGCTGTCTAAACATCGCATATCTGTGTTAGCTATTATTAGTTGCTGGGGATTTAGGCTATATATCCTTAGAAAGTGGCTCGTGAGAAAAGTAGATAGACATAGTTTATCTTCTAATTATTTGCACTGAAGATTATTTGTTAATTTGACAGAGAACCATATGCTTGTAATTGCAGGTTTCAGAACATGCAAGCTGGTCTGGTTGTTTCTACCTCCGAATAATCCAGTCAGCCCTTGCTGCTGTAGGAGCACCTGAAAATTTAGTTGACGTTGTAACAGGGTATTGATTTTCCATTTTTGGTTGGGGTGGCGGTTGTTTCTTTCTCTCGTCTTGTTTAACTGTCTCCTTATGATTTAACCTTTTCTTCCTCACTAGGTTTGCTGAAACTGGAGAAGCACTGGTGTCTTCTGTTGACAAGATAATATTTGTTGGATCGCCTGGTGTGGGTAAGATGGTATGATCTTCTTTTGCCTGATTGGATGGATTTCTTGTTCTTGTTTAATTCCTCGAGCGGGCTTCTCACTTCCAACTTTCACTTCTGCTATTTCTGCAGATAATGAAAAGTGCTGCTGAGAATCTTACCCCAGTTACACTTGAACTTGGTGGGAAAGATGCATTCATTGTTTGTGAAGACGTAGATGTGGAACATGTATGATTTTTTTCCTACCCTCATGATGTTTATCAGACATGGAAATTTAATATGAAGGATATTTTGGATTATAATTTTTTATATTCCTGAACACCATATTTACCTAACTACTCAATTTAGGTTTCCCAAATTGCTGTGAGAGCTGTTCTTCAGTCAAGTGGACAGAACTGTGCTGGGGCTGAGAGATTTTATGTTCATGAGAAGATTTATTCTTCATTTGTCAGTCAAGTTTCCAAGATTGTAAAATCTGTTTCTGCTGTAAGTATGTCCCTATCAACATGTTTTGTCCCGAAGCTGAATCTTTAGGTTGTCTTACAACTTTTTTTCTTTGTCGTGATTTCAGTGAAGTTTGATTTTACAGTGAGCATTTATATGCACTACATATTCTTTTAGTTACAATGTCAGCCAGATGCAGACTTGCCTTCCCTGGTTCATAATCACATTGGCTGGAATGGTCGGGAAAAATTAATGAAAAATTATCCAGCTAGTTCTGTGGAGATAGTTATACAACGTATACTTAAACATGGATTCAATAAGAGTTGTGCATTTATAAGAACTTAATATTCAAACTCCTCATTCTGTCAGTTTATCTTCTTTTGTAGGGTCCACCACTTACTGGAAGATATGATATGGGAGCTATATGTTTGCAAGAGCACTCTGAAAGGCTTCAATACCTTGTAAATGATGCCTTAGACAAAGGAGCAAAGTTTGTTGTTCGGGGAAGTGTTGGCCATATAGGTGAAGGCGCAGTTGATCAATTTTTCCCACCTACTGTGATTGAAAATGTAAATCACACAATGAAGCTGATGCAAGAGGAGGTATCCAAATTCATGTGTTTTCTAGCATTTCCATATACACCTTTAATATCCAATTAGTTACATGGAGAAATGCTTTCTACAATTTTGCAGGCATTTGGACCAATCATGCCATTAATGAAATTTAGCACTGATGAAGAGGCTGTCAAGCTTGCTAATGATTCAAAATATGGTCTCGGCTGTGCTGTTTTTTCTGGCAGCCAGCGTCGTGCAAAAGAGATAGCTTCCCAAATACACTGTGGAGTTGCTGCAATCAATGATTTTGCATCAACGTACATGTGTCAGGTAAATATGTTATCAGCTGGTAGTTGTTATTGTTTCAGTTTTCTTCCTTATTCTTTCGTTTTTGACTGAAGATGGATTTTTTTGTTGTCATTTATCAGAGATCCCTTAAGTTGAAGCATAACAAGTATCCTTGTTGCAGCACAGCTCGTTATTATTTTGTTCGACATGATGACATTGTTAATCCAATGAACTAAAGATGTCTCTTACTTTCGTGAATTTGCAGTCCCTGCCATTTGGTGGTGTGAAAGACAGTGGATTTGGAAGGTTTGCTGGTGTAGAAGGATTGCGAGCATGTTGTCTTGTAAAATCAGTTGTCGAGGATAGATGGTGGCCATACATTAAGACCAAGATACCAAAGCCTATTCAGGTCAGATAACAAAACCGAACTGTATTGTCATCTCTTTGGCCCTCTCCTCTCCCCCTCCCTCTCTCTCACACACACACACACACATACATTGAAACCCCAAATCTGACTGATTTTCCTACTTGGCCAACCACAGTATCCCGTTGCAGAGAATGGCTTTGATTTCCAGGAATCACTTGTTGAAGCACTCTATGGCATGAACATTTGGGACCGCTTGCGAGCATTGGTTAATGTTCTAAAGATCCTTAGGGAGCAAAACTCTCCTGGTAACAATAAGAGAAGAGATGACTGAGCTTGGCACATTAGTGCTGGAACATTTTCATGGGTTAACCGAATTACGAGATATTTTGGGTTTTGGCTTCCCGTTGGAATCTCTCTTAATCACAGAGCATGAACCTAGTTGCTTCCTCTTTTGTTTTGTTGGGTTCTAATTTGGTAGCAGGACAAATACAGAAAAAGAACAATGAGTTTTGATTGTAATGCAGACTTAAAGGGTGTACTCTTGACAAATGCGTATTTTATAGGGACCTCGTACTATTTTTTTCTCCTTCCGCATTCTCCCCTTGTTTTCGGCCCTAAGAATGAATAAATTAAATCATCGTCCAAGTCCAAGAACAAGACCGGAGAGGGAAAACTGAGAGTGCGTAAATCATTACCCTTTTTCCAAACAATGATCGGTCTTGGGCGCGGGCACCTGATTTTGTATGTTGTGGTTTGGGATTTGAGGTTCGGTTTGGGGTTTTGGTCTTGTGCTTAGAGTTTTGGGGTTTGGGTCGTGTATCTTGCCCGGAGCCAGTCTCTACATGCTCTGTGCATCCTCGAACCACGCCAACAAGCTCCTCAGTTTTCCAGCAACTCTGCTACCTGCTGGCAATTTTCTTACATGTTAACGGTATAGGCTGCACAGCAATGCAATGACCACTTGCATTAACCAGCCCTTGGAGGGGGACAAGGGACTATTGTATAAAAAAGTAGCTCAAAGAAGTATAGAGATCATGCAAATGCTTATTGGAAGAGAGATAAAAAAGGATTAATGATTGTGAAATATGAAAAGGTTTCCATATTGTTTGGTTTTGGCAAAATAGAAGAGGTTCCCACGGGGCAAGATTTGGCATAACGGAAATATCATGGGTTTGAGTCCTGGAAATAACATCTTTGCAAAGCAAGGGCAATGTTGTTTATGATAAACGTTCCTCCCGACCCTCGCAAAGTAGGGAGCCTTACTGGCTTGGGGTCACCCTTTATCAGAGATTTCCGTCTATGTCTTCACTGAATTCCATTATTATTAGAACCTTTTTTTGATCTGCATTTTCAACCATGTTTTCTTGCTTTGAAAGAAGAAAGTTTGTTATCAGATGAAGTGGAAAACAATCCTCAGTGAATGAACTTTCTTGAATATATAGGGCTTGTTGCCACAAGTGCCTCTTCCTGCATTCTTATATGCTATTCTAGCTACCTATTTTATAATTTGTTTTCTCTTTTGTTGTTTTCCTCCCTTTTTTTTCATGTGGTTTGTGTGATAATGTAGAGATTATCAACTTCTTTTTATGATATTAAAACAAATTATCTTACGTGTGAACCTTAGTGATCACACATGCTAAGACAAATATGGCTTGACTCATATGTTATTTTGAATGTATTTTACATATCATATACACATTAGCGCACATTACAATATTTGAGTTTCTTTTTGAGATCATAACTATAAATTAGGTGGAAATTTTTTAATTAATTCGGTCTTATCTCTAGACCTGTCATAATTCTAACTCACCGCTCACCCTCCCTCGCTACTTAAGTCAACTCCAAGAGTGAACTAACCCCACAACTACAAACTCCCACTTGCAAATGTCTAATCCATGCAACCAAATCTTGGAACACACAATCCACATAAAGATGACATTCACCAACTCACAAACCTTGCCTCCCCATCACAAAACAACTCATTACTGAGTATGACCTAAATAAGAAAACAAACCCACAACAACCATGTCAAGTGCCAACCTAAGAAACTATATTTATCCACCAACAACGTCTTCTGTCCCAACCATCCCAATACCTTCTTCCCCAACCATCCCAATATATCCCTCACCCATTCCCACTTTTCTAGATTTAGGTGGGCCGAACGCGGCCCAAACACAGAAATCGCAAAAATAGCAATTTGCTTACTACTCCTACGGTAATGCTAATTCACATTTCTCCCCATATTTTTCAATTCCGTTTATAAATAAGCCTCCTTTTTTCCATTCCCATCGCCCAAATTCCAGCCCCATCAATCATATCACAAATCCAGAAAGCTCTCCCTTTTCCTTCACAAACTCCCCAAAGTCTCTGCCTTTCTCTCTCTCTCCGTCTCTCCCGTCGTAATCCACCGCTCCGGTCGGCTGGCTTTCAGATGACGATCCTTCGCAAAATAGCATCTGGGTAAGATTCTGAAACGCCAATATCCCACAGGTTTGTGAAAAATCCAAGAGAGAGAACCGAGGAGAGAGAGAGTGAGTTTATGATAGAGAAGACGACAATGGAGGTTGAGAGGATGAGGCAGCTGTTACTTCTATGGTGTAAAAACTCCTTCGTGGCCCTCGTGGGTGCTAATCACACCGCCGCCAGGTTCTGCGCCCGCTAAATCCCATCATGTTCTTCGCTGTTGTATTTTTACCTTCGATTCCTTTGTGACAAACGTTGCAAATTCGCAATCTGTCAAACATTTTCGCGCCTGGGTACTCCCCAAATCGGCTTTTGGAGCTGTTCTTCGATCCGATCGCTTTCGCTGAGCTTTTCGAGGATTTTCGGTGCCAAAAGTGTTGAAAATTAACCGAGTAAATGGAATTGGCTGGCGGGTTTGCAGCCAAGGATCATAACAAGGTGAAGCACCTTCATGGTGGACGGATGGAATTGGAATCCCAGACTTACTTTGTCATCAATCTTCCAGATTCCAAGGTATTGCGGATTATTTCGCGCTCCGTTTTTCTGGGTTTGGTTATTCTCACACTGCCCTGCATTGGGACACTTCTGAGGGGATTAAATGTTTCCCATTTGGATTCGAATATCGAACCCAAAAATTTCAATTTCGAGCAGTTGGGTCTGCTTTTTCGTGATTTGGCCGGCGAAGGCCTCCGCAGAAAGGGTGATGCATCTCTCATTGTGACTCCTGGCAATGCCGGTGCGATTCAAAAGCTTCACCCTTTTGATTTCAATGGATTTGATTTCGTTGTAGGTTCAGATTTGGTGCGAAAGAGCTCGTTCTTGGACGAGTCTATGGATTTCATTTTCGCATTCAACTTGGCCGATGCTAAATTTGCGGATCGCATTCTGAAGATTGGCGGCATAGTTGCCGTTCCAATAAGCAACGATCCTTCAAAAGCTTTTAGGCCAAAACCAAATTACAGGATCGTGTATCTTCGCCGATACGCTTCCACTTTCGTGGCAATGAGGAAGATCAGTCCGGCTTATGACTTGCCCGTGACGTCCCGGAAGCTTTTCCAATTAGAAACTGAGGAAAAGAAGACGGTGTTAGAAGGTCTAGAAGACGTGCTGCTGGAACCGCCGAGGCACATTTTGGCCAAGTCAAATGAGTACTTAAACAAGATCAAGTTCCTCCCCGACTTGTTGGGTGATTCCCTCGACATTTACAACCGCCGAGTGTTTGTCAATGTAGACCTAAACGAGGAAAACCACGGCATGGTAGAATGGTTCGATCAAAACTATCCCAAAAAGAACCAAGGATTCGAGGTCTACAACCTCGAAGTAGAGCCTGAAGAGGGTACAACCGCCCCTAAAAACGACGTTTCAGATTGGTTGAAAGACAATGTGAGGGAAGAGGACTATGTCGTGATGAAAGCGGAAGCAGAAGTGGTGGTGGAGATGATGAGGAAGAGGACAATCCGTCTGGTGGATGAGTTGTTCTTGGAGTGCAACAATGGATGGTGGGAGAGTGGGAGGAGTGGTGGGAGCAAGAGAGCTTATTGGGAATGCATTGCTTTGTATGGGAGGCTGAGGGATCAGGGAGTTGCTGTGCACCAGTGGTTCTTGTGATAAACTTGAAGAAAATTGGATGGTTTTTGTGTCAAGAATTTTGCTGCATCAAAGTTCAGAGACTTTTGAATTGTTTAAGAGAGATTGTGAGATTTTGGGGTTTGGTTATTTGAGTTATTGTTTAGCTTAAATGGTTTGTTTTATGAAGCCTATGAAATTGGCTTTTGCACTCTGTTTTAAGTGTTTGGTGGAATGGTGTCATATCTATCAATTTACAAAATAATAATACTAAGAGAAATCCTAAGAAAACTTTCTCAAAATAGGACTGTCTACGTACTCTTTGTAACTGCGTATTTTTGTCACAATATTTTATAATATTGACATGAAAATTGACGTTAAACTGTGATGTGGTAGAAAGTTTGCTAATATTAATAGTCCACTAATATCGAGGTATAAAGATGACATATAGTCGATGCATGAAGAAATTGTTCCCTATTTCTTTGTTTGTATCTATTTGACTGTATGAATTGGACCATTTCTAGGTGTTGATGGAACAGATGGAACTGCAAATTTACATCTAGAAATGAATGATTGAATGAATTTGGTATTCAGAAATATGGACCAGTTCGCAGTTTTTACAAAATAACATGTTATTTGGCTCCTCTTGCTTTCTTCTTGAAATAGCTCTCTCCAATTCTTGAACAAATGGAAGATCTATAAATGGAAACTTATGTGTTCAGAACACAACTCGATACACTAAGTGTCATAATACAAATAGATGGACACTTACTGAAAAAAAATTTATCACCTGTATTATAACACTTAGTATTCCAAATGTATTCCAAGTATTTTGAAAATCTCTCTAATAAATGGAAAGAAATTGTGATGTGAGCCCTTGATTGATGGGGAAACTTCCATAGGATCCTCTCTCAATCAAGCAGGACACGGCCGGCGGTGACTTTTTTTTTTGGGTGAACGGTGGTGACTTTTTGGAAGAGGAAATGGAGTAATGGACCTCTCTATATTTGTAGCCTCTGCCTTCCTCTCTAAGTAAAAAAAAATTGATATTATTAGTGCAAAGCACATGGCAACGTCTTCAGTAGGGTGATTAGGTGCAACGGTTCACATTAGGGCTGAATTCTGAAATCAGTTTTTCAAAAAAATTGAAGTTAAAATTGTGTACGGTAAAGGAAAAAAGTTTTTTTTTATTTTATTTTTAATTATGGTTCTAAAACAGCAGAAAGTAAAAGTACTTCTATCTATGCTTGTAAAAAAAACATATATTTTTTTTCATAAGAGGTGGGTGAATAGCAATTAATAAAACTTTCATATTAACAATCTTACCCCGTTTATTTTTTCTAAATCTAATGTGCCGTTTTTTGTAAAAACACTTTGCACTACAATCTACCCAACGCTTATTTATTTTTTTCACATCTATTATTCTTACATCACAACAATATCAGTTTTGAATAAAAACACAATAATTCCAAACTAGTTTGAAGAGAGATTGTTATACCAACGCCAAACCTCAAAAATCAACAAGCTGTTTCAATCACGGAAGATTTAAGTTCTCATTTCTCCGGCGAATAATCTCAAATGGGCTCCACCTCCTTCCACCAATTTAAAACATTTGAAATCACAAAACTAAAAAAAAAAAACAAAAAAAAAACAAAAGGAAAAAAAATACGAACAGACTGGTTAAAACTGAACCGCCAACCAAAGTCTACTCTTTCTCTCTCTCCCTCTCCCTCTCCGATTCAAACATTTCAACCTCACTGCAACTCAATCCACGCCGTCAATCTTCAATCACAGATTCACACCCCAAATCCCGAAGGTACCTTCTCAAATTCCACTTCATTTTCTAGGGCTTCGATTCCCATCGATTTGGGGATCAAGATTCACCATCCAATTTTTAATTTTTTTTCCTGCAGATTTCGTGATTAGAGTTAAAATTCGAAGCTCATGGCGCGGATAAAGCCCCAGGCGCTGTTAATTCAGAGCAAGAAGAAGAAGGGGCCGACTCGGATCAGTACCACTACCATAGTTATGTGCAATTTAATCATCGCTCTGGTCGCCCTGTCGTTGATCGCTACTTATCGCTATTGGTCCAGAAGGTAAACATTTCAACTGGTATTTAAAAAAAAAAAAAAAAATTTATTTTATTTGTTTGGAAAGTAATTATAGTGTTAATTATGGATAATTTCAGCTACTTATTTGTTTTGCGCGCTAATTTGCTCTCATAGGTCGCTGGACCAATCTGGGTCGGAGTTATCTAATCAAGAGGTATTAATTTCAATTGGGTATTTTCCATTTGTGTAATTAATTATTAATTAATCTTCTTGTTCGGAAAATAATTATGAGTAAATGCGTAGTTGACTAAATTTGGTGATTTTTTGTTTGTTTGTTTAGAAATTTGATGGGATTGGAAAGAAGGACGATCTTCCGGGTTATGCTGTAAGTCTCTTAAGTTCGTAACACATTTGATGTACTGCCAATTTGCTCTTCGGTGTCACATTGCATGAACCTGCAATTTTTTATTTCTAGAATTAATGAAGCGGGGTGGTTGTGGTGTCGGTGCGGAGGTTAAATTTGTTATGGCCGCAAAATTTATCAACAAATTTCTGTTCTCAGACGGTATCTGGGTTGTGGACATTGCATGCCGTCATGCATTTGCTTGATATAACCTGATGGCTTTCAGTTTTGGGAAACTTTAATACATTAGAATTGCTGTGTTGGTTTAAGTTGCTGGCGTTTCATTCCTATACTTTCTGTTGGTGTTTTCGTTATGCTTTCCATCTTGTGAGTTATTCACTCTCTTTCTTCTCCCTCTCCCTTGTGTATTGTTTAGATTCTAAATACATCAAAGGGTCCTATCACAGTGGAACTTTTCAAGGATGCTTCTCCAGAGGTTGTGGATAGATTTATTGACTTATGGTGAGTAAAAGTGTTTAGTAGTCGAAGATCATCTCTCGGTTTGAAGTTCTTTCTCTACAGTGTAAGAGAATAAAGTTAAAATTATGGGACAGGGGGTGACTTAGCACATAGCTGTTACTAAATTACCAATACACGAAACTTCCTATTAATAAAAATGTTCTCATTTTAGGGATTTATCATCTAGATATTCTTATCAGCCATTTCATATATTTTTTTGGATTATTAAATACACACCAAGTTAAAGGTTATGTGTTATTTCTATAGCCTTGGTGATGCAGATACATGGTTGACTTATATCTAGGCTACATTTAGGTCCTAAGTATAGGTCTTATTGGTACACTAAATATAAATAAAATCAGAACTTCGACGATTACATATCATTTCAATATTCTGATTAGCAGTAGCATCCAGAAATAGACTTGCCTGGTTCTTGTGGTTGTAAGGGCAATATTGTGTTACGCTCTCAAGGCACTTCTAAGGCATTAGTTTTGCAGTCAAAAGGGACACTTCAAGGGGATGCCCTTCAGTCATGTGATCAAGCACTATATAATCAAAGGGGGTGGTTCCCAAGAACTTGGAGCAGCTGAAGATTGGATATCAAAAGGGAAACTTCGTAGTCAACTTGTTACGAGGTTTGTTTCATAGATAAATCTTTTATATTGGTTGTGTGCCCTGTTGGCCCTGTGTTGCAAAACTGATAGCTTATTCCTGCCTGTGTGAGCCTGTAGTCCAAAGCACGAAGCTTTTATGCTTGGAACTACGAAGGCTAGACCAGACAACAAAGGATTTGAGCTTGTTATCACAACTGCACCAATACCAGATTTAAATGATAAGCTAATTGTCTTCGGACGGGTCATCAAAGGAGAGGAAGTGGTACAGGTATAAAATTCTGTGCATCTTGGGCAACTTATTATCATGCCTAGACTTGGATAATATCTAATGTACAGTGCTTTGTGTACGGTTTTCCATTCAGGAAATTGAGGAGGTCGATACAGATGAACATTATCGACCTAAATCATCTGTAGGGATCACCGGCGTGATTCTGAAACAGGAGATCTAAGGGCGACCCAATCTAATGTGAAGTATTCCTGCATAGCATGGTTGCTGGTTTGAGCATCTTCTTACTGGACTGCTCAAGCAATGTATGTGACAGTACATCATTTAGGCTTCTGATGACCCCCATCCAATTTTCCCGCCTTCACCTCTCCCGATTTGGTTTGTAATTTGCAGTGGGGGATGGGGGAGTTTTGATAAATTTTTCTAGGTATAGGTTCCATATGTGTGGTGGACAAAATACGACTGTGCAGCTAATCTGATATGCAAGTTTGTTGTGGTAATCATTGTGCTATCATTATTTGATATGATTCATTTCGTTCTTATCATGGTCTTTCGACACTTGAAATTGTTTGACATAACGGAGGTTAGGGTTTCGATTTGCGCAGTTTTGTAATGGAGATGTTGCACCTTGTTTATATATGTATTTTTATTTTTGTAGGTTTAATTTTTGTTAATTTGTTATGCCCTTTGAATTGTGAGTCAAATATCACTTTGAGTCACAATTTTGAAGGCATAACGATAATTTTGAGTCACAATTCTACAGCTTAAGAATAATAAAAAGAAATTAGTTGATAATACAATTTTTGGTGCAAATGAGGTGTTAAGATTCAGAAAACAGACCAGCAATTCGCGGCTAATTATCTTTGATATTGTGACCTGATGACATTTTTTAGTTTGAAATTTGTAGATGACGAGTTTTATACAACATGATTATGACGGCTTTATTGTGCGATTAAATCAAAAACTTTCCTCCATTAGTGTATCGTATTGTTGTATTAAAAAAAAAAAAAAAAAAAAAACCAAAAGTGAACTTTAACTCAAATTCCGAGCTCACACCAGTTCTTGGTTTCTTCAGAGCACTGCTAGTGTTGAATATAATTTATTAATATCTATTCTATTGTACTTTATTTTGCTAATTTTTGGACCTCGACTTTTACATAATTCAACACTATTATTTATAAAAAGATTATCGAAAATCACAAATTAGATTTTGTCTAAGGCTATCTCCAATGCACATGAAATTTTAGAGACAACTTTATGTATGACCAAATCCCTTTCCAATAAATCGGAAGAGTTGGGTGAGGTGAACTGTCATGAACAAACCAACCCCGAGCAAATGGAAATTATAATTTAAATTTGGCAAGTTGGTATCAAATTCACCGTAAAACTCTGGATTTAAGATATAGTTAATGGTGTACTTGACCACGTTATAATGAAAACATAAGGTGTTACAATTACTTTTAATATTGGTACATGATTGACTATGTTATAATGAAAACCGAATGCGTGACAGTTAACTTTTATAATTTCTGAAAGAATCGTACACGACACGTTGCTATACAAAAATAACGTGTTCAAATTAAAGCTTATCCGTTCATATTAAAAAACGAATAGATCCGTTAAGTTCACGGGTTGTGCCGTGTCCGCATTAGTGTTAATTATCATCTTGATTGTGAGCAGTGTTGTTGGTTTGAGGCTTGGCCCTAATATAAATATATCAGCAATTTTGCTTAAACCAACTCCAATAGTGGGCTAAAAGTCAAATTACCTTCCAAAATTTCCCCCCAACTCACTCCAACCCAAGGGGAAATTTTGGATTAAATGCTAAATGCTAAACCAATGCCAAATTACCCCCAAAATTTAGCCTAGAAATCGGAGTGCACTCCACCCAATATTTATCAGAATTTAAATTTTTTTAGAATAAAATGTTCATAAAATTAATTTACGATAGTCTACGTATTTATTTTTTTTTTTAAATTTAATTTAACAAAAAAAAAAAAAGCTTGAGTTCATTTTTTAATAATCCCAAACTAAAATTTTAGGCTAGAACGGTTAGTTAAAGCAGAAAAACTATTTTTGGGCTAAAAACTAAATTTTTCAAGCTAAAAAATTTGACTTTGCTATTGGATATGGTTTTAGTGGCAGATTCTTTGTTATTTTAGGCGGGCCATAATTTGAAAGAGTCCATCAAAGAAAATAAATAATAAGTGGCAGTACTAGGGTTTTAGGGGTTCAGGGTTTAAGGTGGGGAGGGGTTTTGTCACAGAAAACATTTCAAGCTCCAGTCTTTTCTTCATCAAAGCATCCAAAGCTTATCATTTCGTCCCCAATGGCGCTTCTCCATCACCGTTAGGCAAAATCCTAGGAAAATTTCCCCTCTTCAGTTCCAGGTTTCCAAATTTATGGAGGACTTTGATGATGATTTCGGGGATTTATATGCCGGCGTCGAAGCACAGGCCAATTCGGCCATCAATGGCGCACCGGACTTCGCTCACTTTTACACAGAACCAGAAGAAGATGTCATTGAGGATAATGGAAAGGCGAAAACCACTAGTCCTGGAACCGATTCGAAGAAATCCGATTCTGACTGCGAGGAGTTGGGCGAGAAAGTTTCTGCTTTGGATGAGAATGAGGATGACAGTGGAAGTGATAGCGAGGATGACCTGAAAATAGTGCTGAATGATGAGGACTACGAGGGCAAAGTGTTTCCAAATGGCGGCCGAGGGCGCGTGAAGAATGATGAGCATGAGGATGAGCATGGTGATGGGTTTCCGGCTACGAAAGAGTATAAGGTATTATCTTTTTTGTCTAAATCAATTTGAAACTAGTGATTTTCAATCAGTGGTCACAGAAACTTTTTAGTATTCAGAATCTTTCTGTGTAAACGGAATCTTTCTGCTTTCAATAATGAATACTATTTGTTCATGTTCATAGATGCTTGGTGCTTTGTGCAGTACATAAGGACTCAAGGACCAACTTCTCTAAGCAATGGAAAAGGCAGTGAGGCTGTGGGTTCAGCGTCTTCCATGTCGGTTAGAGGAGACCATGAAAATAGTTTGTGCTATCAACGCAAGGGTTTGAGCTCTCAGATTAGTTGTATTGGTGATACACCTAATCAAATGGTGCCTCAAAATAGATTTGGTTTCAGACTTCCTTGGTACCGGTTAGTAGATTACAAACAAAATATTAACTATGCAGAATGACGATTTTTGTGTAATGTTGAACTGAACTATAGCCTATGACACATTGTTGTCCTTGTTTTCTGTATTCCAGGACCATACTTGACGTCAACATTGAATCGTTTGAGGAGAAGCCATGGAGGTATCCTGAGGTTGATGTAACAGACTATTTCAATTTCGGTTTGAAAGAGGACAGTTGGAAACAGTACTGTATCTCCCTGGTAAGTGAAATAGCTTATCTTTGCAAACAAATTTATGGTGTAAAAATAGTGTCTCAGTCTAGTCTTCTAGTTCCCATTTGGATGTTCTGGCAGGTTGAAATAGATTTTTCCCGAAGCTTTCTATGCAATGTAACTTGTGGTTGTGCCGTTAATGGTCTTGCCATATGGCCAACCGGTTCTCATTTGTTTTCTTAGACACAGTTCTTAGTAAATACAATCCTAATACTTAAAATTCATTGCAGGAACAACTACGGCTAACATCTATGCAGTTTAGGATCCCTGTCTCAAGAGCTTCAAAACTTTATCAGGTTATTAGTTTGAATCGTGTGGGAGTTTTGTTATATCATCATAACAGTATTTCAAATTTTATGTGTTGACATGTCCACTAATATCTTCCTTCCATAAAATAGGCTAAAGAAGCTGGATCTGAGTATGATACATTCGCCCAGGAAACTATTTATAAAGAAACGAACAATGCTGGACCAAGAAAGTTTGCTCCTCCATCTAGAGATTCTGATTCCAGTTTCAGAGAGTTGGAACTAGTATGTCGCAGTTTATTACTATTCTCTGATTCTTGTATTCAGAAACTTGGTTTGAGATGTTATGACTTGGCTTTTGATTTCTTCAGCCAAAGGGAAGAGCAATTCAGATTGAAGATAGTATGGTTGAACGCCAACCATCTTTTGATGGTAGGCATCCACGTAGTTTGGATGCTGATGTTGTGATACAGGTTGGCTGTCACTTTGAATTGTCAGATGGATTTGTTGCATCTACCTTGTATTCATTTATCACTAATTGCATGATTGGGCAGATTGCGGTGCAGGACGGCACTGAGGAAACTACGAACTATGGTGAGGAACAGGGCCATACAAATTGTACGGCACGTGAGGCATCTGAAAATGGGGAATGTAATGCTAATGGTAACCGAACTATTCCTGCCAAAGAAGATGATTTATTGGTTGGAACTCCAGAAGGAAACACAAGGATAGCAGACAGGTTTGTATTCTGTTATATGTGGGGCCCCAAATATTTCGATTATTAGGTTCCATATATAAAGTTAATTACAATTTCTGAAGGCACATTTAATTCATATAGTTTTCTTTGATATCATCAGTTGTTCCCGGAGGATCAGTGCCACTCATCCAATGACAATAGATTCTGATCAAAGAAACGACCAGTTTGTTGATCTGGATGGGTATGACTATAAGCAGGGGAATGCTGTCTCATTGGAGACTACAGAAATTACAAATAAAACAAATGACAGTGTTGGTGGGGATACTTTATATGTTGATCAATGCATGATGGAAGCACAATTATCACTTGGTGATGACAATCAACTTAGCCCCACTTCCTTTGCAAGTGATTCTGAGGCATCCAAGAATAGTGTTCATTTTGATCCAGAAGATATTAATACTCCTGCCACATCATCTTTTAAGAACCCAAAAGGCAATGGCATCAAGAGAAAAATAGTTGATATCAAAGATTACTCCATGCATAAAAGTCCTGCTCGAAAGGAGCATAAACATCAGCAAAGGAGGCTTGACAGTGTTGTTGAACCAAAGATTCATATTATAGATGATGATGCGTCCCCCACCTCAGAAATGGACGACCTTTATGACAGGAATAACTTATTGGATTCTAGCAGACGGAAGAAAATTCTGCCAGACTTTGGCTGTAGTGATGGAGAAGATATTTCATATTATAAGGAATCAAGGCATTATGGTAGGAGACATGCTGACAATCATGTTCATACCGCTAAAACAAACTATTTGGACAGAAAAGGTAGTCACAATATCCAGGACAAGGTAAGTCCATATTTCAGAAAAAACTGGAATGAAAGGGAGTATTTTTGTGAAGATAGGGATACAGATTGGCATCGTTTTGGAAGAACACAATTCACTAACGAGAGGAGTCTTCTCCCGAACAGGGAGTCCAGGGGCTGGCACTCCAAGTATTCCCCACCCACTGTTAAAGAAAGGGATGCACAATTTAAAAGGAATGCCAACAAACTGCAGTTTAAGAAAATACCCAACCATGGTGGTGGCTGTTTCGGTTATAAACGTGAAGATGATGACTTTGTGGGAGAAAAATTTGGGAGATGTGCTTCATTTACTGGCCGAAAGAGGAATACTTTGGATGAATTTAATGAAAGGCAGTTTCCTCGGCTCAGGAGAGATTTAGGGGGAAGGGATGGATATGTTAACAAACCCGTTTTTGATTGGGATGATTCATGGTCTGGGAAAATTGAAGATGAATATTGCAGAAATGGAGAAAATCAATACTTGTCCGATCAGTTGTACAGAGATTTACACGCAGGTGAAGGAAGATGGAATGACTCTCCATCACCAAGAAATGATGTTTCTTACTCAATAACTGATGAAAGATATGGGAGACGTGAACGAGAAATATACTCTGCTGAATCCAAAGAGAGTAACTGGTTTGATCATCGTTATGATGCTGATGAAATTGATGATATCGTTTATCCAAGTGATCAGTTTAAGTGGAGAAGATCTAACTGGCGATCCTCGGTCCTACACTGGACTGAGGATCAGTTAACTGTCAGGCACCATGATGACAAATTGTATTCTGAGAGGTCATCCCGTTCATATCAGAAATATGTAAGACATGAAAAATTTCATGCTAAATATGGTTCCTACAATGATGCAATGCATGTTGATATGCTATCAGAGCACGATAGATTAGAATTGAAGAGAAAAGGAAGTAGTACTCTCTGTATTAATAGTAGTTCTAAGATGTATATCGGTAAGCATGAGCGGACAGCACTGAGGTGCAGAGGTTCGAATGACTTGGTTGTTGGAGAAGGAAAGGTACAGTTGGGGGAACCCAAGGTGAAACCTTGTATCATTGTACTTGTATATATGAGTGCTCAACAAGAGTTGAGGAAGCCTTTCTTATTCTTTTTAATGCTATCTCATTGCATTTTTTTGCTCCTTTTCTCTATTTTTTTTTCCTTTTCTCTTGTATCGTATTTTCACTTTCCTCTCTCTCAAGTAATGTGTTGCCTGTATGTTCTTGAGTGTTGGTTCCCGTTCAGGTAGGCCTTGTAGTCCAGTGTGTCAAGCATGTAATGTGGGGGAATAAGGTTTCCCGTCAATCATCAAGGCATTATTGTATAATCTTCTTTATGTTTCCTATTCCTCGTTATCTGTCAGGAATTCAGGGTAAAGTTGTCTTGTCATGCTTGTTGATTTCATGGAGGTTGACAAGTGAGACTGCTTTACACCTTACAAATCAAAAGATAATGCTAAATATTTGAGTAAAATAGTGTTTTAAATTGGATGGTGGACAATAACAATAGGTGTTTCTCGAGATATCTTTCGAGTTAGCAGAATCTATAGTATATAAGGTTGCAAACTTGCATGAATCCAACATACATTTTTATTTAATTCTCTTGTTTGTTTTCAAATTTGCTCTGTTTGTTTATACTTCATACTCTGGCCATCTTCCAAGGACATGCCAGTCAGCCATGTACAATGTCCTACTGGCAGTCTGCTCTTTCTTTTCTATTGTGAGTATCCCCACAATGTACAGACAATTTAGAACTCTTAAGCTTTGTTAGGCAGTTTAACAACTGAATATTCAACGTGAAAATCAAATATTCGTGTTTCTTAGATCAAATCTCAGTATCAAAGGGAAAAAAGAAAGTTCCCGTCTCCTGGATTTGATAGATTAGATATCCTTTGAACACAAGTGATACTTATTGAATGGTCACTTTAATTACCTTAGTTTGAACTCTTTTACATCTGTCACCTATTTGAAGACACTTTAACGGATGTTGCAAGGTCTGTTTTATATGCAGACGATGTACTCTATTTTAATTATTGTAATAATATACATGTCCTAGTTTTGTGATTTTGCAGTCTAGACATAAGGGCAATTTGATATGGATGTCCTCTGGATTATTATGGTCCTATTCATCTTGAAATTACTACGACCGTTACATTTTGGACAGCTTTTGTGGTCTTCGGGCTTAGGGTGGTTTTACTTCCATCAATGCAATAGGTGGGAGATGTTACTTGCTTATTGTTGATGAAGCTGTTGGTATGCGGTAATGTATGGCATTCATAAGGAAGGCTAGAATTGAAGGTTCATTTGTTACCTTGAATCCCCTTTTTTGTTTCTTAATAGGATCTGTGGCCAGAAAACACAACTTCTGTAGAATACAAGCTAGACGTTCGAGTTTAGAAGTTTGTCTTTAGTTCATCTTTAGTTGCATTATACATGGACTTACAACTCCAATGTTTGATATACTGAACTTTTCGTAGTGCCATGCCTTTCTCTTTTACAGCTGTACATGTTCTTTTATTTATTTTGGATTCTATTTGTAAGAATGTTTCCAAAGATCATATTTGGATCTTGCCGAAATTTTGTTGATGGTCCATTCTGCTGCATGTTTCCAATCGGCTGTTTTACTGTTTAGTTGACTAATATTTTACAGATGTGTGACATTTCCTTGCTTTACGCTGCAGTCCTCTGTAAGAAGCTACAAACGTGGAACTTTGATTCACAATGGTAGGCTGGAAAATATGGATCCAGAGATTGGTGGCGAGCAGACAACTTTAGCGGATTCTAGTGAATCAAGGACAGTCCAATTTAACACCCGAAAAGTTGGACACAACCAAAACAATGCGAAAGGGCTTGATAAGTTTCCAGTTACAGCTCAAAATGGTGCTATGGATGTTGAAGAGGGCCAGATTGTAACAGAAGGCCTCAATACAGCACACCTACTGAGAAGACATGCTTCTGAGTATTCAGCAGCAGCTTCCAAAGTGAAAAAGCGAACGTTTGCCGGAGAAAGCGGTTCCAGTGGGAACAAGGTTGCAGAAGGATATGACAACCAAAGGATTCTCGAGACAAAGGCAAAAATGGAGAAACGCGGGGAACGGTTTAAGGAGCCAATCACCCTGAAAAAAGAGCCAGACAAGTTGTCCAAGCCTGAGATTGATCTTGTAGTTGAAACAGCTGAAGCACAGCTACATAGGCCATCCCGAAAGAGGCGATGGGGCGGCATAGAGGTTGTTTAGGAAGACTTGTGGCTTGAAGTCCTGGACAGGATGACTTATGCTATTTGAAGCAGGTCAATAAAATTTTAAAAACACAACTCAGAAATGGAGGGTTGGTTTGGTATTGTTGTGCTTTGAAAAAAAACTGTTTCTGCTGTGATGTAAGAATAAGCTCATTTTTGGTGCTTTACGTTTTCAGCTTTTTTTCACCCAAAATTGTGAAAATAAGCTGTTTTAAGTGTTTACCGAACACCTTTTTGAGCTCATCTTTTTTTTATACCCACTTTTTATAAAAGCACCTCAGTACCAAACCAGTACGAAGAAACAGGTTATAAATTTGTTCTATTTTCCTCTTTTAGTGAAATTGGAGGGAAGATTTGATATTTAAATTTAGTGACTTTTTCCCTACCTTTAAAAATCCTCTTCGGTGTAGTAACAATTTCCAATGGTGATTCAACTTTGAGGATTTGTACAATTTTTCTGAAGGGTTGCAAACCAATTTTCTGATTTCATAGGGAGTCGCTGCTTCCGGTTACTTAGTAATTTCTTTCTTCTCATGCAATCTTTGAAGAAGTGATGGGGCTGGTGAATTGCAGATGGCCAAAAATCATGTCATTCAGTTTAAGATCGTTCTTGCCCGTCTGCAGATTTAATCTGGTTCTTTATTTTGTTTTGGCATATATATGAGCTCGGTTGATTTTGCTCACATATTTGATATTTCCTTGTGAATATATTGTAAATCGTTGTGAGCTACTGTCCTACTATGCAAGTTACTCCTTAAACCTAGGGCTGAGCTGAGGATTGAGACTAAAGTTTGTCTTAGTATCTTTCTCGTAACATCATGCGTGTCATGTTACACGTAACGAGTAAGATACTAATGTGTCATATATATTTAGTGTATTTGACATTTTTGGATGGAAATAACATAAACAAGGCAAGCGAATTTTGAGTTTCAAAAAGCAAAATGATGACTTGTAATGTAAGAGCAAGCCCACACTGCTAAGGCAATAATTACTCCGTCAATTGGCCAAATCCAATCATTGCCCTATTGGGGGGGGCATGGCTGAAATTTTAAATTTTGGTTTGCTTGTTTTTGGGCTAGGTTTGTTGGGGTTTGGACTTTTATCTCTCGTTAAAATGGTTCAACACTAATTGAGTTTTGTCAAATGTAATTTTATTGAAATTAATTCCAAAACATATTGTACGAAAAAGTAAAACACGGAACTAAGGAACAATAAACAATATTTGTGAGGCCGTTTTTTTATCCTAAAAAAGAACACACTTGGAGATAGGGTTTGAAATACTAGCTAGGGTTTGAACATAACGGAAACGAAATACTAGCTTGTAGGCTTGTAGCTAGGGTTTGAAAACTAAAAGCTGCGACAACAAATGCAACTCTTTTATCTATACCATCACTAGAAAGTGTTTTGACTGTTTGGGGCTCAGCAATACTGGGCAGACTTAAAAGAAATGGGGAACTTGAAGGTGTTGAAGTAAGTGAAGCTGATGACATCGTTCGACTTCAACGGCTCTCCTCCATTCACCAAGCAATCATCATCCGCGATCCTTGTGAAGACGGATTTGGGTATAACTTCTGCAGAAGCAAACTGACCACAGTGGACATGGATTTGTGAAGGAGCACAATCAGAAGTGCAGGTGTTCACAATCTGTACTGCGTACTTTGGGATCCCAGTTCCTGGAATTTGGGTCTGTGAGATGCTTATCTCTTCGGCTCTGCAGCTGGCTACAAAATCAAGACTAATTAATTACGTAGCAAGTTACAATTAAACAAGAGAAGTTGAAAATCTGATTTATTTTGTGAAGACAACATACTATGTTGTCATGGACTATCGAAGATGAGAAATTTATAACATAATGCAAGATCACGTTTATACAAATATAACTTGATATGAAGATATATACATATAGGAAGCCTTTAAGGGAAGGGATCCCCATCACACACACATATATGTATGTACATATAATTAAACAAAGATGAGAGTTGCAGTACCAGAATGTAATCCTTGTGCATTGCAGAATGTAACCATGAGCGTCATGAACGCGAAGCACAAATGGGAAAAGGCCATGATGTTTTCTTTAGTCAAACAAGGGAGAACCTGCAAGCAAAGTTGATTTCTCAAGATTCGTGAAAGTAGCTTTTTTCAAAAGTGCTTGATACAATCCAATCAACAATAAAAATATAGATGCAGAACATAACTGAACAAAGTACTAGCTAATAAGGCTGTAGCCTAAGGAGAGTGAGGCCAAAAAAGACATATATGAATTAGATTTGGTCTATATTCTTGGAGAAGGTTTTTTTATGCATTCATCATCAAAAATTTCAACCTCAAATTCTTTTTTTTTCTTCTTATGGATTTAGAATTAATAGGATATCGGCTATTTTAATTTAAACTAAACAAATACAAGGTGCATGCATGAGAAGCCACTAATAGTGCAAGAAAGAATTAAACCGCATGCAAACTAAGTGCAGGAATCAAACGGATCGAGACTTCGAGAGTAAACATAAAGGAGATTGCAAAAGAAAAAAATAGTGTCTAAGAGACATTAAAACTTGTAAACTTACTTGAATTCTACAAGTGCTTGAATGAAAAATAGCTAGAAATCGAGGACGAAAGCGTTGTCGAGGATAGCTAAAGAGTTTAGGGTCTTACTGTTGATCCTTGGTTTATATAAGGTTTTTTTTCCCTCAACAATTAGGGAAATTAATTACTTAGCACTCCACTGCTTTCAAAACTTTTCTGATTTGGTCTTCTGTTAATGAGATTGAATCTTGATTTTCGCTCCAAATCAATTTAGAATGATTGTGTTCAACTCCGGAGATTTGCTTCCTTACTTGGACTCCAAGACACACGGATACTTTTATTCGGAATTTTTGGGCGTTTTGATTACTTTTTTAGGCAGTTCCCTTCAACTAGTGGTTTTTTTATTTCCATTAATTCACATGCTGTGCATCTTCACTGGTTAATTGCTTACCACCGAAAAAAGGAAAACAATTATTAAGATATCGATTATTTTAGTTTAAGAGGAATGTTAGGGGACTCTCTCAAAGTGATACTCTTCATGTAAAATATTCTACCAATAATATGAGATGGTAGAGAATTTATGGAAAATCTCATTTTTAGCATTTCTCTTATACTTTGTTTGGATGAAGAAATTTAAGATAACTAAAGAATTTTAAAATGGTGGAAATTAAAATAAAGGGATTTTATTTTCTAGAATTTGTGAATTTTCTTGTACGGTTAACCTAAAAGAACAATGGAATTGAATACGGAATTTGTTATTTTTAAACTCTCAATCATAAAAATTGAGAAATAACACCTATTTATTTAAACTTGAGAATTGGAGGTCCCAAATTTCAGGTTTTTTTTTTGTCACGTTGAAAATCTAAATTTCTATGTTTATGAATCCAAACAAAGGAATCGGTGCATGTCAATTTATAAATTTTGACTTTTATCTAAATTCCAAATTTATTTCTCTCATGTCAATTTATAAATTCTGACTTTTATCTAAATTCCAAATTTATTTTCCTCGTCCAAACATTGTGTTAGTTTAAACTATAGCAAAACAAAGTGCATTAATGCTTATGGCCGAAAATAAAGATTCAAGCGCACTAATTCCTTGTTTGCTAATTGAAAAGGGGGTTAAATGCTTATGGCCCATAAAAGGGCATTAATAACATAATTCATATATTTTTCGGCCTGAAATAACAGTTTGGGTCAAGAATGGGCTGACTTGAGTTGAAAAGACTAAGAATTCTAGTAAATATCCCTCAGACCAGTGGGCTTATAGCCCAAGAGAGGATTCGACTAAGTCATCATGGGAGTAGGTGTCACATCCCGGCCCGGGGCGAATCACTTCCCGGGCCCGCTCCACCACCGTAGCACGATATTGTCCACTCCCAAAAGGCCTCGTGCTAGGTAGAGATGAGAATATACATATAAGGATCACTCCCCTTAGGGGCCCGACGTCTTCGTCGGCACACACACGACCAGGGTTAGGCTCTGATACCAAATTGTCACATCCCGGCCCGGGGCGGAACACTTCCCGGGCCCGACTCCACCACCGTAGCACGATATTGTCCGCTTTGGGCTTACCATTCCCTCACGGTTTTGTTTTTGGTAACTCACGAGCAACTTCCCAGTGGGTCACCCATCATGGGATTGCTCAAGCCCTCTTCTCGCTTAACTTCGGAGTTCCTACGGAACTCGAAGCCAGTGAGCTCCCAAAAGGCCTCGTGCTAGGTAGAGATGGGAATATACATATAAGGATCACTTCCCTGGGCGATGTGGGATGTCACAGTAGGACTGTGAGAGGATTAAGTGCGTGTGTGGCTCAATCGAGTCCTATGCAAACTAAAATTGCCAAACGTCATAATAAGCCCTGAATAAATATGAATCATTCCTAAGCTAATAATTCATTCTTAATCAGATAAAGATGAATTAATCGCATAATGGGATCAAGTTCAGAATCTAATAAGTAAAGTAGAAAAAGAAGGAAATTGAGAGAATCATAGTTGTGGAAGAATTGAATTGGGGAGTGAGATAATGAAAAAATAATAATGGAGAAAATGCTATTATCTCATTCATCTGTTGCTCCCTTGTTTCTCTGTCTTAAAAAAATTGACACGATTTCCCTTCATCGCCATCTCAACCTCAATTCTTCCATCCTCACCATCTCCTCTCCAAATTAATTCAAGTCCCTGTCCAAATCGGTTTCAGGAACTCCAAATACTTTCTCCTACTCTTCACGTCCTCCCAATTTGATCGCTACGGTAAACTTTGCAATTTTGAAGCTCACTACAGATTTTGATATGAAAATTTTAAGTTTTTGGTTGATTTTCTCTGAATCATGGACTCTTTTGTTGACTTGTTTGTTTGATTACAAAGAGAAAGTTGAACGAATAAGCTTGGGTAAAAACTGATCTGGAAATTACTATCACCCTCAAGCATGAGCGTGAGATTAACATTTGCATAGTAATATAGGAAATTACCATTAGATTCCAATTTTCGTAACAATATAGGATTCCAATTTGCATGAGTGCAAGGTTACCATCGTCTCCAAGGTCACTGGCTTGTATTCAAGTGTAATCCTATATTGCTATGTCAATTAGAATATGAAATATTAAAAAAATTGAAATGCTTTTGTCCCTTAATGGATGCAAAGTATCTATGCTTATGAATAATGAAAACTCATTTAAGTACATTTCTTTGTCACCTGCTCTGATCTGGTAAAACAAACCAAACAATATTATTATTTTTTTACAACTTAATGGAAAAATGACTGAATTTTGTATTTTCCTCTTGTTCATTTTTATTGTTCATAGTACTAGAAAAATTAAGATAGCATGTATTAATTGTTCTTTTTGTAAAGTTTTTATGATGGAACGAGACTTATACTTTGGATATAAGGATCTCTCTTTGTTCACTATTTACCTAGATTAGAACAATTGTGTTATTGAGTTAACTTTTACTAGGGTCAGATTATTTGAAACTGATTCTGCAAAAATGGTCGATGATGGGTTGAACTAATCTTGCAAAAAAAAAGTCAAAGACAGGTTGAACTAATTCTGCAAGAATGGTCGAAGACGGGTTTAACGAGTTGAATTGATTCTGCAAAAATAGTCGATGACGTTGAACTGATTATGCATAAATGATCAAGGACGGGTTGAATTGATTCTGCATAAATGGTCGAGGATGGCGAACTAATCTGGAAAAATGGTCGAAGACAGGTTGAACTGATTCTGCAAAAATGGTCGATGACGAGTTGAACTAATTCTGCATAAGGATCGAGGACGGGTTGAACTGATTCTGCAAAAATGATTGAGGACGAGTTGAACTGATTCTACAAAAATAGTCGATGACGGGTTGAACTGATTCTGCATAATTAATTGACGATGGGTTGAACTAATTTTGCAAAAATTATTAAGGACGATTTGAACAGATTCTACATAAATGGTTGAGGACCAGTTGAATTAGTTCTGCAAAAATGGTCGAAGACGAGTTGAACTGATTTTGAAAAAATGGTTAAATACGGGTTGAACTGATTCTGCATAATGGTCGAGGATGAGTTTAGCTTATGGCACATTAATTTTGTTGGAGTTGTGGAGGAATAAGTTTATTAATAACTCTAAAACCTTAGGGGTATGACTAGTAGTTTAAAACATTGTTTCCATGTTTTTGAGTTGGGCTTTAATTGTTTTTATGTTATTGGCTCTCATTGACATATTTAAAAAACTAGTGGAGTTCCTTAAAATATAGTGAAATTTTTTGTCTCTATATATAAAGCTCCCTAAATTTTAAGGTGCATTCATACTATATATTTTAAAAAAAAATCCTTATGACCCTAAATAGTTATTTTATATTTTATTTTACGTGGTGTAATCAAGTGTTAATAAAAACCCAAAATAATTACAGACACTCAAATTTTGTGATTGTCTCATATTTACGAAACTTATGTCTCAAGACTTTTCAAATGCGACAAAAGGATATTTACGTAAATTCGCTATAATTGTTAGCTTATATTTAGGGTGAAACCCTCATTCGAAATTTACTCAGACAATTATCGACCATCTCAAATTAAAGTTACAAATAAGAATATAAATTGTCGAAATTTAGAATTAAAACCAGTGAATCAAAGAATTGGAGTCCATTCCAGAAAATCACCCGACACTTCAAAACCCTAGGCAGCGTCTGCCAATAAAATCTTGGCTGCAGCGTCTGCCTTAAGAAGCATTTTTGAAGGCACAGGATTTGGACCCCCCAAGTTCCCGGCCGTGTCATTAACCTTAAAAATCTCCAGTCCATTAAGTATGGCATCATAGTACTGCGGATGCGTTGCCAGACTCGGATGCAAACCCACCCACAGAACATCACCGTCTTTGTCGTTCATATGAGTGGCATAATCCTTGTAAACCGGGATTCCGATTCCCCCGGTCCACAGGACCACATCTGCCATCTCCTGAGCCGTTCGGTTGTTGAGATATATATCGAACGTTCTCTGGTTCCCCAGTGTGTTTTGAAAGTCGCAGAAATGTAACCGAACGACGTAGGTGAAATTTGCGTCCACCTGAAAAACCCAAGTGAGATTGGATTTAACGTTGACTTGAGGGTTCGGTCCCATCGATCTCGCAGTTTTGTACACGTTTAGAGGAGCAATATATTCGGGGACATCCTTCGTGTGTTTGATGGTGACATTGGCAGGAGCCTCGATTGACACCCCGAGAAAAGTCTTATTGAGATACGAGGCCCCGTAAGCTGCATTTAGTAGGTACGGTGAGTCGTCCCACCATGTTCGTGCGAGTCCGGAGTCCTTGATTGCAGGAATGTAATCCCCTCCGACGCTTAGCCTGTACATTGTCTGGAGGGAGGCGTTTTGGACGTCAACCGTTTGGCCGCGGAATCCGATCAAGTCGGTCGGCTTGAAGATTTCTTCCATTGGGATAACCTCCAGTGAGTTCACGAAGGCGAATGTTTTTTCGTGCTTTGTGGAGGGCGTGAACGTGATGTTGAGAGTGCCGGACTGGACAGGAACGATTGAGTACTCTCTTATGATGTAAGCCTGCGTGAGGGCCAAGGCTGTGATGAAAGGGCTGAAATTTTTAAGCAGGGTGAGCCCGTTGGCGGAGACGTCGAAAACGCCGTTTAAGGAATCTACGGAGTTGTAGGTGGTCGGGTAGAATTGGAACCTGACCAACAGGCGTTTGCTTGATGGGACAGAGAACTTGTACGATGTTGCAGAGCTCATGATTCTGACTGTCATGAATGGAACTTTGGATGGCAGAGCAGGGTCATAGTACCCCGCTTCTGCAGTCTTCGTGTTGTCAGCGGAGGCGAGGTACGTAGAATCCGTTGTCCATTTCCGGCCATCCGAATCCGTTTCCCCTTCGGCAGATGAGCCGCAGGAAATTATATGGGACTTTGAGTCGGAGCCTTGGCTTCGAACACGAATGGTGTTTGATGAGAACAAGGATAACAAAACCAGAGGAAGCAAAATGTGGGATTTGTGGATCATTGCTGGAAAGAGAAACTCTTTTGAGATGGTGTTTGAGCGGTTAGTGGTCAGGGAAGAAGAAGGTCTGTTGTGTTAGAGTACAGGAAAACTTGGAAATATGGAAAAAAATTAGGTGAAAATTAATCTAATGTTCGTCTTCCTGCACAAGAAATTTGATTTTTTATAATGTTTCTTCTTCTATCAAATTCGAATGCGGTGTTCTAGCTAAAATTGGAAGAAATGTTAAAATTATACCCCGGAAATTCTAAGAAGTGATGCAAGAATTACAAATCCAGCTTTGTTTGGCTTTCATTTTTGCTGTATCTTTGTTTGTTCTTTCTTTCTTTGTAAATTGATTGTGTGTTGTTTGTCACAGGGGTGTAGGGAACGTTGAGATAGGAGGTCGTTATCGGTTGGAGAACAACGGTAAGACGTAGAAATCGCTAAATTATCATTGGCATTGACCGAATCCCAGACGTTATTTTGGGTTTGTAGATGCTTTTGCATATATAGGTTTGTATACTTTCAAAGACCTCATATTTGAAAGATTTTTTTCTTTATCACTTGGAATCACGTAATATGTGCTATACAAATATATAAAGGATCGTATCATCATGACACCTAAACTTTTCCACACATATTATTGATATATTCATTTATTTATTTATTAAGAGATTGCAGGATTCAAGCTAGAAATCTCTTTCAACAACGGAAAGAAAATGCTTACTAATTAAATTAAATGTTAGGCTGCAACAATGTACGTATAAAAAATTATATGTTATGGATAGGGTAAGGTTAGGGAAACCATCTATTTAAACAATATTTTCTAATCCTTATGACGTAATTGTTGATGGTTGAATTATTACTTGAAGTGTTGATTAATGTGCTTCTATTGAGGACACATCACATGATTTGCAAATATGGTCTAAAATGTTGGTCTACCTAGCATTGCTCTTATGAATATGATATAGATTTTGAATTGTACAAGATTACATTCAAAACCCACCAACTCGGTATATGATGGTCAACATTAATATTATTTGCCTCAATATCTAAAATTCAAACATAGATCATATCATATGGAACCCAATGATCTAAAATTATACTAGGAGGGCAATCTCCTAACAAAGAATAAGGCTAAAAATTCAGACAGGGTTTCAAGGAGCTTGTTTATGCTCATGTCATTTTCTCATTCGCCAATTCTCGACTCATAACGCTTCCCGTTCTTCTTTGTGCGCGGTGAAGATAGTGGTGGATGCTGTAAGGTTGTGAGCATCAATGAATATGATTTGCTGATTTCTTGGCAATCAATTAACTTGGTCAACGAGTTAATTGGTGTTGAGGAACTTATGCAATCTCGTTTAATTAAGATTTGGAGTCCTTATTATGTGCAACTAATCAAGAAGCCTTATTGGTTAGACAAGAAATCAATATCAAATAGGACTCTAATGTTATCCTTATTCAGTTGGTCACTAGATACAAGCCCGACATTTTGCATCTACGTGTCTTTGGTTGTGTGGTTTATGTGCCGATTGCGCCTCACTTATGTACCAAAATGGATCCTTAGAGAAGGATGAGAATCTATGTCATTTTATATTCTCCTCCATCATTCGCTACTTAGAACATTTAACAGACGATCTCTTTACCGCCCGTTTCGTGAATTGTCACTTCTATGAAATTTAGCAAACAAATTAATGTAAACATTTGCACTTCGTTGTGCAGAGAATTTGTATTGAAATTTAGCAAACAAATTAAGTTAGTAGCTAGTTAGGTTGGTCATATCAACCTGAAAACCTTACTTTGACCCTCAACAATTTTCTATTTTGTTTCGCGATGATCAAAGCTTCCTCTTTTTTCAATTTTGTTTTGAGAACTTGTTTCTTTTTATTTTATTTTATCATAGACAAAGAAGGATAACGGGCTTTAAGTAACATAGGTTGAAAGTAGGCAAAAACTGAGCAATAAATCGAACAAATATGCGGGGAAATATTAGAACTTTGATTTGGTGTGGTGCGCCGGGCCCGAGCAGCAGTGCAACGCCTGGAAGATGTGAAAAAGCTCCAATAGCAAGCCATTGTGATGAGCTCTCTCCCTAAAGAATCAAACAATGGGATGTTAAACTTTTACAAACTGCAAAAGCGTGCAAAAGGGTGAGTGTAGGTGGCTGAACCTCTGAATCTACAAAAATGGGCATGTGATTTTGATGAAAGGATTGTGGCAGCCTGAGATTTGGCGAAAAAGGTTTTATCCATGGCGCGCTATCTGTGTCCCTCAGTACTGGTTTCTGTTGACAATGACACAAAGTTGTACCATGGAAATTTTAACTACCCTACAGAATATTTTCCTGCTAAAGTCGCAAGGCAATATGGGGACTTGAACTTTATCTCTCCATCTGGAAGAAGAACTGGAAAGATTTGTGATATACCAAGCTGATGTTTGAGAATGTTATAGCGTCAATCTTGCTCTCGGGGAGTCAAGGCCCCTTGTCGTTTTATTAAGTGTAATATGCTAGTACTGCATGTGCATTTGGCAATAGCATCTCACAATCAAATGGAGGTATAATTCGTAAGGATATATAAGTTGTTGTATGACAAATAGCCAATGGGTGTTAGAGGGGTAGGAAGTACAGTGGTTCTGGTGGCGGCTTAACTTCAGTTGGGAATCAGAATCTTAGAACTTCAGTTTCAGAAATAAAAGGGGATAATATATACAAGTGACAAACTAAAATGGCTCATGGTTGGTTTGAGACTTTTGAAACCTTGTGTGAAAATTAAGAAGCAAAGCCCCTAGGCAATTTAAAGGAAGAGACGAGCTGGCATCGGGAGAGAGAGTGATGCAGTTCACGTAGAAGCTGCAGAGAATAGGAAGGGAATAACAATACGCAAGCTAATAAAAAGAGAAACTATAGGAAGCTAACTCAATAGAGATAAAATTATATTCCAACTCCGTTTCCAGCATTCAAATCACGATCTATTTATATAATAAAAGGAACTTAATTAGACTAGTACATGAAATAAATAAGAAAGCTCAATAGGTCCTGCCGTTCCCAACGTTATTAATCTCCTTGGTCTTGGAATCTGATGGGTTTAGTAATCATCCCCCTAGGACATTCCTTGAAAATAGTATATTGCACCTCAGACTTTAATTCTCTCAGTGACTCTTCAGATGGTCCCCCATCAGTCCCTCCGGGTTGAAAATGACTCGTCATTGAGTCAAAATTTTGCTCCTGGACATCCTCAAAGTATGGTTGCAAGTCAGCCGCATTGAATATTGTTGACACCACCATATCCGCGGGAAGTTCATCCGGTATCACAACAGAAAACTCTTGCGGCAAGGATTCGTTCGCGTACGGAAGAGAGACCCCAACATTCTCCTCTTTGATCCCCAAAGCACATACAGATGCGCCTTCTTCAATTTCTTCCATGAATTCTGCCATGGCAAGGCAGATTGTCCCCATCTTCTTTTCAGGCTTTACTATATGTTGTTCTTTTGAAGGGCCCAAAATTATCTTCACTGTCTTTCACAAAGGTGTATGTGTTTTTGAACCCATCATGAAGAACTTTTCGGTCATATTGCCAAGGTCTTCCCAACAAAAGATGGCAAGCATCCATCGGTACGACATTGCACCATACTTCATCTTGATATGCCTTCCTAATAGAAAAAGCACAAGTCACGCATTGAATGTCATTAACTTGTTAGGCTGTAAAAACTTACACTTGAATTTGAATTTGGTAGGGTGCGCCAGCCCGAGCAATACTGCAACACTTGGGCGACACGCAAAGATACACGCAAAGATCCCAATAGTTTTCCCTAAAAAAATTAATTTAATATCGTGTGATCCATTGGTTCACGTATCAGATATTAAACTGATAAGAATAAATAATACACTTGATCTTAACCAAAATACCAAGAAAGGTATGCTCTACTCGGGAATTCGCTTTTATAGCAGCTTCGTTCTACTACTATCCTGTGCTGGTCGATGTGGATTCGAATACACTATCTCGAAATACTCATGTTCTGTCCTTGTACTTGAACGCAAGTACACTTAAAGCCTCTCCTCAGCCAATTGACTAAGCTTACAGGATCAAAGAATAAACAGAACAGCAAATGAATTAAGCTTACAAGATCAAACAATCCTTTTGGTCTACAAATTTAACGACAGCTCTAAGATTATCCCAGGGAAAAAAAAAAAAAAAATTAGTGAAAATATATGGCTCAACTTACTGTCCTTGAGAAATATGGTGAAAACCCAAATTGCCCCCAACAGCCTTAACTTCTTGGGATTTTCCAAACCGCCAAAATTCTGCTACAATTATCCGTTAATGGATATCCGAGATGATGGCTTTGAGCTTCTTTTGCAGTGCTTCATTTTCTCCTCACCACCAACACCAAGGTCTCTTCGCTCTCCTCTCTCTCTCTCTCTCTCTCTCTCTCTCTCTCTCTCTCTCTCTCTAACAGTTGGTTTTTGTGCTAAAAGTTTCAGCCAAAGTGAAGGTTACAAGCAGCAAAGGCATTGAAGAAGTGAAGAATCTCATAAAAACTGTTGGGATTCCATCAAAAACCTCCTCTCCAGCAAAATCTCTTGAAAATGGCAACTGGGTCAAGCTCATCTGCGGCGCAAGCTTCGAGGATGTGGTTGATATCAGGAATCTTTCTCTGGTTTACACTCTTGCAGGAGGTAATCAATTAAAACTTTTAACTGATTTTTTGCTGACTAAGTGAGATTAGAGATTGGATTAATTGAGGTTAATTTGTTGATGAACTGTTGTAGTTGATTGCATAGACTGTGCGGCGGATGTGTCAGTGGTGAGTGCAGTGAACGAGGGGATTGATGCTGCAATTGGGATTTGTCCCCTTCCGAGGCCTTGGGTGATGATCAGCGTTAATGATGACAAAGATCTTCACTTTCGCAAGGCCGGTATGTAATCGTTATCTTCGTTACTTTATTTAGCATGATAGGCATTGCTATGAGATTTTTGAGGATGTGAAGTTAAAGTTCTGCGTCCCGGGAGTTAAAGAGACCTTGCAAGGAGTGAAATTTGCACACTTCTGTGTGGTTTGGTAGAACTCGTAGATCATAACTTGTGATTGTAAAATCTTACCGCAGCTGTCACAAACACGATGCTTTCTTGGTTTGATTTCTTTTACCCGTAACTTTTTATGTCTAACCGAACTAACTACCATCATATAAGCAGAGTTTGATCCAGAGGATTGTCCACTTGACTGTTCACGGCCTTGTGAGAGAGTTTGTCCTGCTGATGCAATATCACTGGGGGCTCAAAAATCAACAGGACAGTTCTTTTATGGAACCAATATACCTGATACATTTAAGGTTTGTATTTTCTTTATTTTCTTACCATATTAATGTTATGAATCTCCTCGTACATCGCTGTACATATTCGTCAAGGATCACCTTCTAAAACTTTTAATTGAATTGCAGGGTGGAGTTCTAACTGAACGCTGCTATGGCTGTGGCCGCTGCATTCCAGTATGCCCCTACGATAAAATAAGTATGTACCACACTGACAAAACAGTATGCAAAACTTTGTACATATTCAGCATAAGTTTTAATCGTCTATGTGAGTAGAATACATGAAGTTCATTATTGTACATATAAATATAAGCTTGACATATAAAATAAGTATAACAACTGACAGTTTTCAGGGAGCCATGTCAAAATTTTGGAAGGAAACATTATATGACATTGTGTATATTTTATGCTGCCTTTCTTCCTTCTAGATTGATCCTTTTTAACAAAACCATGCAATTGATATATAGGAGTGTCCTCGTACATAAGAGATGCTTATGCAACCTCCGAACTTCTCAGAAGAAATGATGTTGATGCATTAGAGATTCATACAACTGGAAGGTACAGTTTCTTAATAATTGAAAAGTAAGTATACATGTTAACTACTATTAAGCTGATTGAGGGAAGAACTTTTACTACTTCTATGGATGTTCTAAGCACTTTAATCTAATTGAGTTAAAAACTTCAACATTAATTCAAGCGTAGGTAGTCACACTTTGCTAAGCCTTAATTTCTGCAGGCAGATTGCTCCATTTAAAGAACTTTGGGATGGCTTGGGTGATTCGGTTAAGCATCTGCGACTAGCAGCAGTAAGTGTGTCACGTACTCCTGCTGTTTTAATTTCACAGGGACTATGTAGTCGTAAAACTAGTCAAGTGTCTTTTAAAAGATTTCTTTGGGGTTCTGCAATAATTTTCATCATGTCCAGGTTAGCTTGCCTGATAATGGGGAATCAACTGTATCGTCGATGAATGCTATGTACTCAGTTATGGAACCAGATCTGTGTTGCTTCAATCTATGGCAGGTGTGGCTCCTGTTATTTTTAAGAGATGTCATCACAACCTAATCAGTTCTTTTGGCAGTCTACCTATATGAATAACCACCTGTGAACTGCAGTTGGATGGCCGCCCCATGAGTGGAGATATTGGTCGAGGTGCCACAAGAGAATCGATTGCTTTTGCTCTTCGTTTGGCTGCTATAAAAGAAAGGCCTCGTGGTTTGTACTTAATCTGCTATGCTGCTCGAGAATATCATTTTTGTGCTTCAGCTATGGTTTTGTTTAATCCATTGACATGGCAGGATTTCTTCAATTGGCTGGTGGCACCAATGCTCACACCGTTGATGGGTTGAGGAAAGTCGGACTTTTCCAAACGGCATCCTTCCCAAATACAACTGGATCACCTAATTCACTGCATCCTATGATTAGTGGTGTTGCATATGGTGGCTATGCACGAAAGGTCGGTCTTATTTTATCCAAATCCAACCATCTACCTTCGGAACAGATCAAATCCATTTTTCATGATTTGCTTAAAAGCATTGCAACATAATCTGTTTCGCCTGCGAGACACATTGCACTTATGGCTATGTTTTATACACATTCAATGATAGGGTTATTTTTTCTTTCAGATTGTTGGAAGAATCCTGAGCTATATGCAATCACAGCACGGCGTCACCAGTATTGAGGATTATCCAGAGCATCTCCTTCAGGCACTCAGAGAGGCACTTTCTTTGGTAGGAACTGTCAAATGTTACAATCCGTTTTCAGTAAATACCTTGAGCAAATAAGCTAGCATTTGGCTTTCTACATTCCAAATTTTGTATAAGGTCATCCGCAGATCGTATCGACTATTTACTTCACAAATTACTTCACAACTATAGTCAAACGCATTAAAACCAAATATTCTTCCGTACTAATCGAACAATTATTCAATTAGTGGGTTCGGTTTTTAATTTGGACTCGGTTTGGTGGGGTGCGCCAGCCCAAGCAGTAGTGCAACGCTCGGGCGACACGCGAGGATCCCAGTAGCAAGCTACTGTAGTGAATCCTCCCCCTAAAAAAATAAATTTAATATCGTGTGGACCATTGGTCCACGTATCAGATATTAAACTGATAAGAACAGATACTACACTTGATCTTAGCCAAAAGGCCGAGAAAGGTATGCATATAACTGTCTTGGGCTTTCTCTTTTATACACGTCTTAACTCTCCTACATTCTTCAGATGGCCGATGTGGGACTAGAACCGTGCTTTCTTGCAGAGTTGCAGTGCTGTTTCTAACAACATCTTATAGCTTTCAGACCACAAAACTACATCTTATCACCAACAACCAGGAATTTAACATGACATGGGATTGATCCATGAGATCAACCTGTCCTCTTTTCTCGTCCTCTTTCTGGCTGCATCATCTTTGAGTTTCCTCGCTGGCTCGATTTGAAGGATAGAGCTCGAAACAAGAAATTGAATGGGGAAGTGGGATCTGCAAAAGCTTTCTGTTCCTTGACAAGTTTATGCTTCTAAATCGTTGAAGAGATTGCTGAATGCCAATCATTGCCATGGTTGAAATATGCCGGAACCATTTCAATCTGCTCCAGTTTGATATCTTTCAGAAAGTTGGTGTTTTGCTCTAGCTAGAAAATGCGAAGGCACAATACAGGTTGGGCTTTTGCGATATGGTGGATTCGTTAATCTCTGCCGCAAGTGCTGGTATATTGATTTACGACTCTAAATGTGAATGATTTTTTCGTTTTTATTTGTTCATATGTTTTTTGGTGTACTCGGAATATGAGCACATACGTCACATGTCGTTATACAAGTGCAATGAAACTTAAAAAAAAAAAAAAAAAAAAAAGAAACTTCCCTACACTTGTATAATAAGTTAATAACATATGATGTACTGCCATTTGTTCTAAAGCACATTGAAAAATCTCTCCGTTGTACGAACCCACAACTTGTATTTTTTTTCTTCTCACGCTCACTACAAAGTTTAGATCTAATTTCAAACCAATTGAAATCTTTGGGTTCACTTTTGTCTATGGGTTTCCCTTTTCATCTACCAGTTGGATTATTACTAAGTGTTGGTCCCTTAACTAAAAATTAATGAGTCTTGCTTCCTAACATGTCACAATGGGGAGCAATGATCCTTATGAGTAACACCATTAGAAACTCCACCAAAAAAATAAAGAGTTTAAATGGGCAAAAAATGGATTGGGAATTTAATGGAGTTAGTCAAAAGGAGCGTTGCTCAATATTATAACAAGTTCGGGACTAATGTTCATAAATTTTTAATTTGAGGAACCAAAGTTCCAATTGAGCTAAAGTTCAGAGACTATTACTTTAATTATTTCTAACGATTATGAATTTTATGCTTTTCAATTATTTTCGTACCCCATAGTCAAAGCCTATGGGTTACGAATTTAGCTTAGCGGCGGATGTGGGACGCAATAGCTTCAACAATCGAGTGTGACAAATACTTATCATCCTCTATGATTGGTCCGATGAGCGTTTGAAACCTTTAAAAAGGTGTCTAAGTGGAAATGGGCACACATTGAAACAGTGTGGGATGCCAAGATTTCTACTAGTGTCAAATATAAAAGCCTCTAATCCAACCTTGTCCAAGTTGGTCAAAACCCAAAGCAGGGAAAGCAAAGGGAGTGATAGTGTGAATCCACACATGGGGAGAACTACGGCCATTGACGTAAGTTCGTAAGAGCGTCGGTAACAAAATTCTCGTTTTTAGAAAAGCCTCTAAGAATCGATGGCGTAATTTTTAAATATCTCGAATAACTATGTAAATACGCCAGAAAATAAAGCATATCATTAATAGAATCAATAACGATTTCGAAATCTTTTTTTACCGTCATGTGCAAACAAAGGAGAAAATCTACAAGGCCGAGGGGAGTGGGGACAGTAAGATGAGGAATGTCATAAACATGTTTCTTAGCAAACACATGAAGTTAAAATAAAAATAGCAAAAACAAACAAAAAATAGTGATCAACCACTAAAAATAGCCCACATGTTCTTGTGCTAACTTTGAGGATTGATATAAACTTATTCACATGCCTTCCTTGCTGTGGTCAAATAGATTACGCTTATTTCACACGCCAAAAACGACTATGTTGTTTAGGATTTTAAGAATTGGTTAATCAGACTTCAAAACTTGACTTGTGAGGTTTGTCTTGGACTAAAATTTGCATGACCGAGCAGATTTTGGACTGGATCAATTTCTAGTCACCTATCATGCTCCATAGTTTAGTACTTTGGGTTGTTGTGCTCAACCAATTTCTTCTGTGAAAAATTATAATTATTATGTGACACATCTCGAATAAATGAGGTTCGAAAGACCAATGACGGATTCATAAATTTGCTTTGGCTATGCAAACAGTAACAACTTTTTAAGTTATTTTTTCATGTATATGATTAGATGGGAAGTTGGGATGAAGAAATTTGTGGGAAGTGGGTGATTTTTTATTTATTTATTTTTTTTTTGTCAGACTGGGTGAATTTAGGTGAACTGGAGAGGAAATGTCAAAACTGAATGATGATTTTAGGTAAAAAAAGAAAACTCTTTTTTATTCATCGCGCTTGTGTAGCAGCTATTGCAATAGGTAGCCCCCAAACTACGAGAGTGTAATCGTCACACGAGATGGTACATCACATGTCGTTATATAAATAGTGGGATATGTGTGTTAAAAAGTTAATAACATAAAAAGTAAAATTTTCCACTACTTACATAAAAACACGTGATGTACTATTCGGATTCCCGTCACAACTAAAAATTTCTCCCAAACCACCATGCCTTGTCATGTTATGAAAAAAAAATTTAGTTTGTCGAAAATATAACTCGATACATCAAATGTTATAACATAAGCGGTTGGATACGGCAAAATCTCTTAATATTATGAATCTGACCCTATTGTGGACCATGTTTGTATTAGAATGGTGGCATAAAGTGATGCAATATTTAATGTAAAAAACTATTCTATTGTAAGATAATATCATACGCCACACAATCACAAGTTATGGTATAGTTGGACTGACTAATTTATAACACATAATATAATTATAGCACTTGAGGATATTTCTTTCTACACGGGAAAGCTAAGTAGATGAAAATAAATTTCAAATCCGTATTCCACACAATATGTTCTAGGTTTAATTCTTGGCGCTGGTAAATTTTAAAAGGTGGTCAAGGAATGCTAATATGCATATGTGAGTCTTCTCGGTCCCAAAAAAAAAGGCTACCATGACGAAATCATCAACTGGTCTCTTTTTTAAAACTGAAAATGAGAGTTTCCCCTTAAAACTTACTTTTCTCTCACTTAAAAACCCATCCTCTTTATTGTTTTAGACTTAAACCCCATTCACTAGAGTCCAACTAAGCAAATTTCCTTAACAAGATTGGTATGTCAGTTTTTATAATTCTCGTGTTCCGAAAATACCCTCACAGATTATAATGTGGGTTAGGTTTGACTTATGATTAATAATAAATTTTGCATTTTATTGTTGTCAATGCAATTAAATGTCAATTAACCTATTATTTTAAGGAAAAATAATGAAAATAGCTTCAAATCTTTACATTTTAATAAAAAATCATCCACTAACTTTATTTAATGATAAGGGACAAAATAATAAATAAATAAATAAATAAAAAACACCACATGTGCTGGTGCGCATGCGCCCCACTCCACCCCCGCCCCCCCCCCCCAAAAAATCCCACTTTGTTATCTCCCCAATGTCGGCTATCATTAAGACATTATTATTATTATTATTTATTTTTTGCTTAGAATAAGAGAAAGACTTCAAATTGAATTACATTTTTCCAATTTTATTTCTGTGGTGTTGTTTCCTAATAGTAGTCAAGATGACAAGAGATGCTTTAATGTATTTGGAATACGGAGTGATACACCATGTCTCTATACAAGTAGTGAGATTCTTGTGTTAAAAAATAAAATTTCCCACCACTTACATAATAATACGAGGTGTAGAAAGTTAAGATTGTGGGTGGAGAAGAAGAGGAAGCCGCATATGGGCGGCCAATAAAAGAAAATTAAGTAATTGGTGCAGAAGGTTAAGAAATTGAAGAGATACATACAAAATTTGATGAGTATCGAAGAAAATAGAAGTAGAAAATGTGTTTGGAAGGTGAGAATGTGCCAAGAAAATTCAAGAAGAGGAGAGAGAAGAATGTAGTACCGTTAAGTTTCATAAACAGTGTAATACCATTAAATTTCATAAACAGTGTAGTACTGTTAAGTTTCATAAACAATGTCGTCAGTTTTCATAAACAGTGTAGTAAGTTTTATAAACAGTGTAGTAAGTTTTATAAACAGTGTAGTATCGTTGAGTTTCATAAATAGTTTGTGTGAGGATGCATGGGTTCGCGTGTCAGATTTGTTTTTTTAATTTTTTTAATATTAAAATTATGTCATTTTCATTAAAATTTAAGTTCTTTTGTCATTTTTATTAAAATTTAAGGATTTTTCATTAAAATTTAAGTTTTTTTAATTAAATAAATTTAAAATTTAAGTTCTTCATGAAAGTTTCCATTATTTTATTAGGCTTTCCATTCTCAAAAATTTTACCAACATTTGTTTTATCGTGAAATTAACTTACCTTATTAGCATGCAATATATAATATAAATAAAAATATTATGGTGTTTTAAGTTGAAACATGGACAAATAATTTGTGTCAAAAAATTTATACAAACTAATGGTTGTATTTTTTCCTTTTCCTAGAAAATATGTTAGTACCCACTTTGTTATGTCTCACATCACTCAAGGGTGAGGATCCTGTAAGCCTTATATGTAGATTCCCACCTCCAATTAGCACGAGGCCTTTTGGAAGCTCATTGGCTTTGGGTTCCATCGGAACTCCGAAGTTAAGTGCGTTCGGAAGAGAGCAATCCC